GACATCAGTAGCATGGCATCAGAATGCAATAGAAATTAGAATGGGAGGCAACTGATGAAAACCATCCCAAGTTCAGAGGGATATCGGGCAGCTACAGAATTAAACAATCATTCTTTTATGTGCACTTGTGCAGGCTTAACAGCGGAAAATGTAAAACGACACGGCAGAGGCCGGGCTGGGGCCTATAGGTACATACCTAATGACCGTCTCATAGACAAAAACACACAGAACAAAAGTAATCGACGGTTACTGATTTGCTTCAATAAAACATCTCCCATTGAAAAGTCATTTGGACTTGCAAGAACGAGTGGAGGACAAGAGAAGGAAACCAGGAGTTCAAGAGAAAACTTGAGTTCTGTAGGCAAACGAAAACAAGAATCGGACTGAATGCTACGACTTTTTTCTCATTTCATTTTGTAATTGAATTTGATCCCTCCCCCATGATCGCAGCCCTCCCCTATGCCAGCCAGGGCCTTGTGCCAGCCATGCGGTGAAGCTTTGCTCGATAAATACGGTGCTGAGGCCACGCATCCCAATGGACTATCGGTTGCCACTGAGCTGAGGGGTAAGGCGCGGCAGGCAGCAGGCCATGAAGCATCCAACCGAGTGTATGCCTCGAGCAACGCTTGGCATGTCGGGAACGTACGGCATTTTATGGGTGCGGAGAACGCATCTTCTGTCAGACGTGTTTTGCAGATGATCACAAGGATATGCAGCGAGAACGGGTGCCTCGGGGATTTTCTCATGGCGATCTGAACACGATGAACAAATGAAAGGGGCAATCTGCACATCGATATAAGGGACCCGGCCGCACGCCGTACTGCCTACCTACTCTGTAAGCCATATTTTCATATCGATTTGATGTGAAAAATGACTTCTGTGAGTAGGTACTGAATGACTCATGTAGGCACCACTTTTTGATAAATGGTTTTGCGCATTTTATTCTACCGCAAACCTCTAGCACATAGCGAACACTTGAACTCGTCTCGTAGAGGTAGGCATCGATAGGTATCTGGCTTGCCATTGCAAATGAAGTGATATTTTTAATGTATTAGGTGGGTATTGAAAAAATATCACCACTGAAAACATTCCGTGGTATTCCTTGTAGGTTCAAGAGCTTCAGCTCAATCGGTTCAGCGAACAATTACCTATCACTTGTGCTTCAATGCACACATGAAAAAATGAATCAGGAATTCGAGATTCAACGAAATACTCACGCCCAAAGCTAATCTACAATACAAACTCATCTACAATAGCATGATGATGATTTCTACTTCCGGCATCCACCGTTCTCCAAACCGTCCAGACCTGGCCCAACAGATCAGCACTCGGCCGGGTCATGAGAGGCACGGCTCCTGTGCCGCCCATCCGGCGTCGGCCTGTCACCGGGCGGGCGCGGTCAATGCCCCCGGCAGGCGGGGTCAACGTCCGCGCCCAGAGGCACGGTGCGGCCCGACCGGCCGACGGGGAACCTCTCTGCTCTCGGGCCTCCGAAATGCCGCAGCGCGGCCCCGCCCAGCGCAGTGAGCGCGTGTGCGTCGTCCTCTCGGCTCGCCACAGCCGCCGCGCTGCATGTTTCAAAGATGGCCGTCGCAAGATCGCAGGAATGCATCAATCACCTTCTGGGAACGCCGCGCGGCGCCGGGAAAGTGGGGGCGAGTGTTTGCGGCCGACCGGCGTCGCTCCGAGCGCGGCTATCGGCCAGTGGCCTCGGTCGCAGTATTTGACGAGGCAGATTGCTCTGTGGGTTTGACCGTTGGATAGCGTATCACAATTTGAACGAGAACGTCGTCACATGTTTGTGGGCCGGAAACTGTTACGGAGGCGGGCGAGCGTCTGACCTAGCCTGCCATCTAGTGGCTGAATTGTAAGCTGCAGTACTGAACACTGGCACCGGACGCCTCTCCCCAGACCCTCGAGCAGACTGAGCACCGAGCAGCGGCGCCCTGGGTTGCTGCTTCTGCCATCTAGTGGGAGTAAGGGAAGGTTTGTTTTGTCCTAGGCGGGTCGATTCGGAGATCCACGATGTCGATGTTTGTCCCTTCCCCTACACGGACGTGCACCAATGCATTCAGATGGTGATTGGAAGAACACCATTAGCGAGACCCATCCATGCTGGAGCAACGTCACAGCACCGAAAAGTTTCCGCATGTTCGATGATGTCAACCACACGATGTGCAGACAACTAGCGCATAGGAACTTCTTTACGCGCAATATCAGAAGTGAAGGCAGCTACAAATGCAAGAGCCAATGTAATACACATCAAAACCTGGCCTCAAACACGTATTTCGTTTCAGGGAATGTCAGGTGATCTGCAGGATATAACCGCACGATGCACGGTTCGTCGGAAGGTCATCTCAGGCTCAAAAGAAACGGTATATACGATTCGAAAGCTGACGGTGAGCTGAATCCAAAAATGTATTTTTTATCAAAATCGATCGATGGCCTTTTTTGAAAATTGCGTTTTTGTAAAAACTTAATAATCTTTTATTCAACGGGCTGTCCCGGACATTCTTGAAAACATAAACACGTATTTTTTAGTTCCAGTGAAAGCTGAACGCCAAAAGAACAATATTTAGCGAAGCAATATTTCCGAACATGCATACCTATGCGTCTCCCACAGCCGACAATAAGGCGCAATCACACAGCTCAGTGTCACGATGGACCAAAGTCAGCCACACAGAAGCGTGAAATGACCCTTATCGACTCGCAGACCCGGCGCTCTCGGCCCGCCTGACCGGCCACGGAAAGAACGTTCGGCTCTCGTTCTGCTAAACAAATGTCATATTTGTCACTTTAACTGTCCACATCGCTATTAAAGATATTCAGGATACCTGTGAAGAAAATTCATTGTTCTGCTTGATTTACAACATGCTTTAATTTACATTTTTCTTATACATGTTTTGTTCCATCCAGCTGCGATCAGTGCCCGCGCAGGGGAAGTGAGCGGGGTTTCACTGTCAGAGGCTGTACTGGTGACAGCTGCTCGGCCGTGCGACCGGTCAAAGGTTACCCTGCCCCGCCGGGCGCTACCCCCACTCCACCCGAGCTGAGGCCGGTGCAACCTCTGACATTTCAGCGCGGCCAATTTTCCTTATATGGGCATGATACCAGGCTCAATTGAGCAAAGTAGACATGAACAAATGCAAATTAATGCATGATGTGAAGATGACAGAACAATGAATTTTCTTCACAGGTATCCTGAATAACTTTAATAGCGATGTGGACAGTTAAACTGACAAATATGACATTTGTTTAGTAGAACGAGAGCCGAACGTTCTTTCCGTGGCCGGTCAGGCGGGCCGAGAGCGCCGGGTCTGCAAGTCGATAAGGGTCATTTCACGCTTCTGTGTGGCTGACTTTGGTCCATCGTGACACTGAACTGTGTGATTGCGCCTTATCCCGCGACCGCCTGGGGGGGGGGTCGGATCCGACCCCCCCCCCCTCCGTTTTTCTTGAATAACTCATGAACCGCTTGCGCTATCAACTTGAAACTTCGCATACCTTCTCCACCATCAATTTGACGTCTCCTGTGCAACTTTTAAGTAAAAATTTTCAAAAATTTCTGAGATATATCGATTTTAGTGATGTAACTACATGGCGTTTTCAGTCAAAAAATGGTAAATGTTTAAAAAATCGCCAAAAATCGAGGTTTTAAGCAAATTGCAAATTAAGGACATGAAAAGACGCAGCTCAACGAGTTCTTTAAAATGGCTATCTCGGATTTTCCATAAAATGCGTTTTTCACCCCTAAAAATTCAAAAAATTACATTTTTTGGAAAACAGCTGATAAAATCCAAAATTTTGAGAATTTCCAAAAAACCGGAATATATGTTATAGAGCTCTATTAGAACATAAGATGTCCCAAATTTCAACTTTCTATCTTGATTTTTGACCCCCAAATTGTAAAAAATAGCTCTAACATGCATAGGGCATGGTGACGTCATAAGCATTTTCGCGAAATAGAGGCACTTCTGAACATCGCATGTGAAAACAAATGGCACCACTAGATTCCTGGGACAAAGCTCGTCTAGAAAAATGCATTTTTATGTCAAAAATAAAAAGTCGAAAAATTGACCTTTTTCTCAGCCCTCGTTTAGTATAAACGATTTTTTATGCTTTCAATGCACACTTATCACCAGCACAGTGACTTGGGGTCACATATAACCATTACCATCGGATTTGGCGTGAAAAATAAGCCATAAAACATGTGTCGCACGCCCATGTAGCAGAAAGTGAAAACCGTGACCTTTCGTGACCTGACCTGACCTTGACCCGTACTTAGTATGACCCCCATACGCACATGGTACCTTCACTAGGTCTTTGAGGTCATTTGTGGTGAGTTTCGAGCAGCAGCTATCGATTCCGCTGTCCGTAAGCCTAATCATGCAAAACCCCTGAATTTGACCTTTGACCTGACCTTGACCCGAAAGTTGACCTCAATCTTAAAATCTTAAGAGTGCTTTGGGAAGGTCTCGTAGAGACCTTTCGAACGCCGCCTCGCGGGGCTCGATACGACCATTGGTTCTCGAGATAACAGGGGGGGGGGGGTCGGATCCGACCCCCCCCCCAGGCTGATGTGGGTACGGAAATAGCCCAGGCGGTGCCGGGTTATTGTCGGCTGTGGGAGACGCATATCAATGTTTGGAAATATTGCTTCGCTAAATATTGTTCTTTTGGCGTTACTCTTTCACTGGAACTAAAAAATACATGTTCATGTTTTCAAGAATGTCCGGGACAGCCCGTTGAATAAAAGATTATTAAATTTTTACAAAAACGCAATTTTCAAAAAAGGCCATCGATCGATTTTGATAAAAATTACATTTTTGGATTCAGCTCACCGTCAGCTTTCGAATGGTATATATCGTTTCTTTTGAGCCTGAGATGACCTTCCGACGAACCGTGGATGGGGAGCTACATAACCTGCACCCATCTATTCGCTCCATTCATACCATCATACCATTCAGCCCAAAACGGTCATACAGAAGCGAAACGAATTCCATGATTTGCAGTTTATATTTGGCCCGCTAGAGTGAACGAAAATATCGTTCAACGAAAAGACAAGATTAAATCAAAATATCGAATAAGCAATGCCCAAGTGTTCGACGGCACTTTATGGTCTAAAACAGTAATAATCTGTCGGACGATGAGCAGATATGATTTCACGCAGCTCTGCGAAAATAAGGCCACACAGAAAGAGATGACACATTTTGCATGTTTGCAAAGTTCATAGCATTGATTTATGAGCGTAAATAAAACACCAATGTTGTACACGTAGGTAACCAAACAGCACAATTAAACAAAGCTGATAGGTAAATCTTATCACCAAAAATCGATCACACAAACTTACAGCACATAGCGCTATTGCTACATACCTGAGCGGTCGACTCGCTTTACACATGTAACAACACCACAAGGCACAACAACAAGAAGTATAACATCACCTAGCATAAGCGCTGCTTATCCAACGTTCACTCATATAGCAAGGCTCTCGCGGGATTTGCCATTTCACATTTCCGGCTATATCTCCGAAACTAATCGATGTACGATGAAGCCATTTTAGAGGATCATGGCAGGCATGCGTACAAATAAATCGATCGCATCTTCAGCCCTTGAAAGCTTAAGACGAAGAAAGCATAGCCGGAAATTTACTCAATTTCATGGGAGCAAAACCTACCGCTAAAACCCGCGAGACCTGTACCTTTATCACATTCACATACGAAACATTCGCAAATTCCTCTTCGGCAACGGTTCGCCAAAATAAAAACAGAAATAAGTGAGATACAACACCAACATTGCCGACACTAACGACTCTGGAGTCTGGGGTGATCGTTCTTTTCAAGCGCAGCCCACTTCGAATACACTGAAGCAAATAACCGATATCTCTGCTACGAACCTTGAACACCTATCTCGATTCAAACGGCCTTAGGCATTACACTAAAACCTTTTGCTTAACACGTTTCAAAATTCATTTCAGCCATCATACCGAGGTTCTAGTTTGAACGTAAACAGGAACGCAAAATAATGACCGTACAACAACGGCACTGATAAAACAGTGCAATTACAACAATCACCAGCAAGGACACACTCATAAAAAGTGCAACATTGGTGCAACACATGCCTTCACCCAGCTAAACAAAACGGCTTATCCCAGCCTGTCATTACGCCCCGTTCACGATAAAGGATATTTCCCTTTCCACTCGACAGCGCCCTCTCCACACGCATTGGCCATCCTCACTTGGTGGCCACCCCGAAGGCGAATGGGTTGACGATGCCGAGTCCTTGGAGAGGCGTGGAGACGGGCACCACGCCCTTCCCCATCACCAACACCGAGTGGTAGTCGACGCTGCTGAACCCGCTACACGACAGCAGCTGCAGCAGATGAGGACGACAGTGAGGGTAGATACTGGAGATAGTATGCGCAACACTGAGCAATCGAGCACCAATTTAGTCCAATTGGTGTCCAACATCAATTTTGTTCTAATGTGAAAAAAAAACTGATGCCCCCCTCCCCCAAAGGAGAGAACAGAAGGGTCAACCAAAATTTTCAAGACTCTTCCCCTCGCCGCAGCCAGCGGCCGGTTAGCTCAGTTGGTTAGAGCGTCGTGCTAATAACGCGAATGTCGTGGGTTCGACCCCCACACTGGCCAGTTCTTTTTCGGTTTGCAAGAACTCCGGGCTGCGAATACGGCGAGCGCCGAGCACACCACCCACTACCCAGAAAATATAATCACAAGATCTCATCCCTAGCTTAGTCTGTGCAATGTACATGACTGATAGGCATCTCGATTATTACAGGAAGGTACCCAACGCTCACCTCTCTGAATTCCAGGTTGATCATGCATCCATCAAACACGGCCGGCCAGATCCCAGAGTTGGAGAGCGCGTTCTGTACGCAGCGGCGCCACGTACCCGACGGGTGCGCCACGTGCTCCAGGAAATAAAACTTGCCGCCCTGGGGTACCAAATGCACGTCACATTTCAGTTTGTTGACATGTGATTCAAGTGATTTTTTTTTTCTTTCCCAACCCTAGATGAAAGCCCACATTGCCCAAATGTGACATGACCAAGGCAGAATGGGATCATGTGTAATGTGTAATTGTGTAGTAAAGAAATATTGCGAAAGAGCTAGAGCTTGAAGAGGTAGGCTCTCGGGTATTATTTCTCCCCTCCTCCCAACCACGATAACTTATAGTTTACCTATACCTAGCCATCCGCCCGCCTGTACTCACGGGCACCAGGACACGTCGAATCTCCCGGAACATCTGATCCAGGTGTGTGACGCTACAGAGCACCTTGGTGGTCACCACCACGTCCACCGAGCTGTCGGCCACCGACGGCATCGACTCGCCGCGCTCGGCCACGAACCGAATGTCCGGGTCCAGGTGGGCGGCCTTCTGCAGACACTCGCGCCGAAAGTAGACCTCGAACGCCTGGTTGGGGTCGACGCAGTGCAGCCGGGAGCCGGCCGGGTAATACCCCAGGTTTGTGCCCGTGCCGACGCCAATCTGATGGTGGTGATGATGGGGGGGGGGGGGGTGGGGAGTAAACAGACAATTTGGGACAATTCGGGGACAGCTGAGCATCTAAGACTGTGGAGTGTGGATGCTCGGCTATCACACTGACAAATGTGGATATACTAATCCACATAACACTTATACTAATACTACTATGCTTTTTACAATGCTTGGAAATGTTTACACTAGGTATTGGTTGGCCCTTTGCCAATGGCCATGCACTATGCAGGGGGATCAGTTACCATCACCCTAAATTTGATAAAAGTGGTTATGAAAAACATAACTTACCTCTAAAATAACTAAAGCATTTTTCTTTGAGAGCTCATTATCAAAAGATTTCAAGGATGCCATTGATGAGAACAGGTCTGCTTTGGTAGAGTTCAGTGCCCCTTTCAATCTATCTTTCATCACAAATTCCACAAGATTTGCATACAACCAATTTCTTATCTCTTGGAAGCGAGTGGGCCCTACCAACACTTTGATAGTGACTACAATGATCAATAGCCATCCAGTAATACATGCTAAACTGTTTGCTAAGCAGAGGAGAAACAGAAACATCTTTGTCTTGTGATAGGTACTTGCTAGTGGATCTGAAATAGCTACAGATAAGGGCCATTAGGTAGGACAATAGAAAATGACAACTAACTAACCCGCGCACCGACGGGGGTCTGCGCCAACTTAGTACCGACGGGGGGGGGGGGGGGGAGAGATGACCGCCCCCCCTGAGATCTCGAGAACGAAGCAAGATAGCGACAAGCGGTAAACGGCATCGGATACGCACGGTCAAGATCTACAATTTTTACTAAGGTCATTTTCAGGTCAGGTCAAAGATGACGTCACAGGGGTCGAAAAAGTCAAAATGGCGGCGCTAAATATGGAGAGTTTTTCTCGAATAACTTTCGAATTAGTCAAGATAGGAACAAACTAAGTGCATCATCGTGATCCTCTCGTCAATCCGCATCGAATGATATATATGTTGACCTCAAAAGGTCAAGGTCAAAGGTTGACCTCAGGTCACGTGACCTCGAGGTCATCATGTATATCATTCGATGCGTCTTGACGAGCTGAACACAATGAGACCATCCACGCGTCTGTATCTTGTTCCTGTACGGAGTTATTGGCCAAAAACCTTTGGTGACCTTTGATGACGTCACATGACCTCACAGCTGCCCAACAGCAAAACAGACCTCAAGGTAGTGAAGGTTGATCGTATATGAAGTCATGTATGGCATATGGGGCCATTCCGACCCGTTTTAGTGGTAAAAACAGGGAGTTGATTTTTCCCCCATTGACTTATAATGGGGAGGTCGCGAAATTGACCTGACCTTAGGTCACCGATATCAAAATTCCGAGATATACAAATTGTAGCTACTAATGACCTAATAACATCCTGCGACTTTCAAAGGCCTACGACATCTACTGTAGCTCTGGCACGGTGACAAAGTTGCAAAAAAGTGACTTGAGGTTGGGTCATTCAAAGTGACCTGGTGACCTGACCTTGAAAGGAAGGAGGTTCAAACTTGCACACCATGTGTAAAATTGATAAGGGAATAGTCATACCAAATTTCGCGGCACGTAGCGCCGCGGTTTTCCCGCTATTCGCGAAAAACCTCAGGGGGGGCGGATATCCGCCCCCCCCCCCCGTCGGTGCGCGGGCTAAGGACAAAACATTTAACATACAACACTTGGCACAATCTCATTTCATATGCCACATTGAAATGGCTTAGGAAAAGCAGAAGATTCCTTTTGGACCAGTGCACAGTGGCCCTTTTTCAAAATTAGCACGCATTAATTCCCACATTAACTGAAAGTGGTGCAAGACATCACCACGTGATCAAGGGCGTATTCCCTGCCAATGCAAAGATAAGAAAAGAAACGAACTGCCCAAGGAGATTCGGCCCAACAGCGACAGGCCGCTCGGCCCAAGATTTGGCGCACGTTCGCACGGCTCGCCCGCCGGCCCAGGCCGCTCTGAACGCAAGTGTGGCGAGCCCGCCAGCCGACCGCGCTGCACTGACCGCCAGGACGCCCCAGGGCGTCACGTGACCGCATCTGCAGCTGTTGCCAGCCACCGTAAGTCGGCCCCGGCCGGGCAGCAACTAAGGTCAGCGCGACGCGAACAATACAAACACATAGGCGCTTTTGACGTTAGATCTTAAGCCGACCACGGGACTTGTGCGGCTTGGACATCAAACGCGACAAGAAATCGGACAGTTTTACTTGAGCACAGCGTTATGCCTACATGACATTTCAATAGGCACATCTTATGGCAAAAGTCAAGCCACATTTAGGCGCCCACCAGGTGACACCAGCCTCGAGCCAGGTCAATGAGCTTAGTCGTATCGAACAGGAGCCTCAGCCGCTCGCGGACTGAACTGGCTCACGTTATCCACCGTAGAAGCAAAATGGCGCAAAATGGCGCGATGCCCTTTGGTGGACATGGTCAGAAGAGATCGGCGATTCGAACGATGTATAATACGACATGTTCCGGAGTGTGCTACTTAACATAAAGCTTCATATGTATGCCGTCATCTCCAGTTGATAATTGTCCTGTTATTGTGTCCACAATATTCGGCAAAAGTGGTCTATTTAAGTTTATACAATGAAAATTGTGATTTCTAGGGCTTCTACGTAAACTCAGCTTCACAGCTATGCCACTAATTTTTAATATTTTCTCACCGAAAGCCTTACAAACTGATGTTCATCTCACCCTACTTTTTAGGGTCCGCCGGTGGTGTCCGCGCGCCTCTCGGCAAACCTCGATTTTGCGGTCAGTTTTACCAAAGATAATTATTTTTTAGGAGGTAAAAATGGCACCATCGGATAGTTTGGAATGTTTTGCACGCGATTAGACTGCTTTTTACTCAAAAGAAGAGAAAAAATATTTTGAATTTATGCGTGCTAATTCTGAAAAAGGGCCACTGTGCAGTGTCTAAAAGACAATATCAATTATCACATCACAACTGACAGTTGCTGCTCTACAACTGCTCTGGGCAAGGGCATCATGAGAGCCATGAAGCAACAACAAGATCACAATTCACAGTCGTCAGTCACTAGCTAGCGACAGCTATGCTTTGCTTGTGTGAGCATGTCACGCTATGTTGTCCCTCCCCAAACTTTTGTGAATGCTACAGAAGGTATCATTTGAGTTATAGTACTGCAAAACTATACCTTTCTAGTTTCTCTCAATGAATTTGACACTGACATCAACATGCAAAAAAGATCACCTGAAGATGCAACAGGATATTATGAAATGATGCCCAGGGTCACTTAGCTGGTTGATGCTTACAAATCTGGCATCAATCTGGCTATTAACAATCACCCATAACAATAACGTCCAGCCAAAAATAGCAAAAATAATGGTGCACATAAAATAAAATATCCTGGGTACCTATTTATATAGCCTTGGTACCCATCATCAAGATCAAGATGAGCCACCAATGAAATCAGTAGGCACAAATTCAAATTATTTACATTCATTTTATTGAAGTTTGATATTTCTCACTAAAGTGGTTGAAAGTTGGACAGCACAATACCTAAATGAGACTCAAAAGAGGTCAAGCCAGGGGATTGTTGCATAAAATTTGCAAAAAGCACCTTGCATAAATCTTTGTTGTGTATCTTGGCGTGCATAAAGGCGATATCGTATAGTATAACTGTTCAGCTTCGAACAGATACTGACAGCTTTGGTGGCGTTCACAATCAGTTTCCATGGTGATCATGCTGTACACCAATTAAAATGTTGTAAATGCTGAAACAACTGCTGATCGAGGGAAAACGCAAAGAAAAACGAACATCTTCTCCTTGTGCGCTGTTTTCGAAGCGCTTGCGCCAATTCAAAATTAAACTACAGTTCATACCGCTCACATGGGCACGTTTTCCGGTCCATATTACGATATGGTAGCACAGGAAATTAAAGGCTAAAAATATAGACTGGCCCTTGGACTGAGTAGTAGTAGTAACTACTAAGTAATCTTGCTTGGACTGAGTAGTAAAGTAATCTTGCTTGGACTGGCCTGCATGAGCATCTCAGGATTGATGTTTCAGATCAAGCCATTAGCCAGGGACAGCGTAATTGATTCATATTCATATTCATATTCACGTGTATTTGGGCAATCCCGAATAAGCTTCAGGCTATTCCTACCCATCGTCAACAGATTAAAAAGGGAATAAAAACAGGAGGACAAGCCTCACACACACGTCTCACACACTCTAAAATGCACTCACTCATCAGCCTCCGGACTTATCTCCGCAAAGGAGCTCGGCTCGCCCCAGCGTTTCTCCTAAGGTAACATTTCAACTGCCTTGAGAAGGGGGCACCTGGGAGGTGGCGAAGGTTTAGTGGTAGCGTGTTATAGAGGGCAGGTGCACGGATCGAAAAGCGGCGCCTCCCCATTTCAGTTCGGGATCGAGCGACAAAGAGGTCACTGTCCTGTCTTGTGGGTCGCTCGTGCACATCACCCACAGTCCGGAGCACACAGGCGAGCGAGTCTGGTTCGCCAGAACGGAGAACTTTGTGAGTGAGAGTGATTGTGTGGAACCTGCCTAGATCCGCAGCTGACAGCCAGCCAAGCCGTTGGTGTAAGTCTGATACATGGTCGTATTTTTTGCGGCCGAAAATGACTTTAGCGGCGAAGTTTAATATTTTTTGAATCCTAGACGTATTGAGCTGCGAGCCGTTACCGTACACTGCCAGGCAGTAGCGGATCTGAGACAGGACCAGAGCGTTTACTAGAGTGGCTAGAACACCGGCTGGCAGGCTGTGCCTCAGATGTGACAGACCAGTTAGGATTCCGAAACAGCGTTTACTGACGAGCGCGATATGCGAATTCCAACTTAAGGTGCGGTCGAAGACAAGTCCGAGATTTTTTACTTCTGAGCAAGGGACTAAGAGATGGTCGCGAAATTTTACACTGAATTGGGGAACGGTGCGCAAATTTTGTTTGCTTCCAAACAGCATCAGCTGTGTTTTCTCAGCGTTCACCTTCAAGCCGTTGAATCTGAACCAATTATCAAGACAGCTCAGGACACGTTCCAAACGAGCGATAGTGTCTTTTAACTGAGCTTTAGGACCACTGACCAAGAGCTGGGTGTCGTCCGCATATTGGACCACCAGGGCGTCCTCCGCGAAAAGGTGAAGGTCATTGGCAAATACGCTGAAAAGTAGGGGGCCCAGCGCAGATCCCTGAAACACGCCGATGCTGTTTGGAAGCTTTGAGGATATTTTAGAGGTACCTACCCATGCGGTCAGTGAGGCTGACGCTTTGGGTGTGATTATGAAGGTAGGCCGAGAACCAAGCGGTGTCGATGCCGTTAGCGCGGAGTTTGTTGAGAAGTTTTGCGTGGTCTATCACATCGAAGCACTTACTGAGGTCTAGGAGGCAAAGCAACGATATTTCTCCACGGTCATTTGCGGACAGGATGTGGTCGGATATGGTGGTCAGCGCGGTCTCCGTGGAGTGGCGGGGGCGGAAACCGTGCTGGGATGAGGAAAGGAGGTGGTTGGATGAGAGGTAGTCAAAGAGCTGCTGATGAACTGCGCGCTCGACTATTTGATTCAAATTTGCTTGATTCAAATTTGCACCTGATTGTCTTGTCTTCACGGCTCTGATGTAAGTGATACGACCCTTGTCTGAGAACTCTGATCCTCATAGTCATCTGCCCGACACCGTGAGGGAGTGAGTTATGTGAGGACAAACTTACAGAGACATTGAGGCAAGGTAGATCTGAAAACAGTTTTCACTGTTCATCGTCGTTTGTAACAGATATTCGTCATCCTAATCAACCAAGGCAATCAAGGCTCAGGGGCGTCGACACCGGTCCGACTTTTCCGACTAGTCGGACCACTTTTTCGACTAGGCGGTGCCCTGCTGTGGCTCGCGGGGGCCCCTGCTGCAGACCGCGGGGGCCCTACTGCGGCTCGGGGGGCCCTGCTAGAGACCGCGGGGGCCCTGCTGCGCCTCTGGGCCCTGCTAGACACTGCGGGGCCCTGCTGCGGCCCGCGGGGTCCCCTTCTGCGGCCGCGGGGGGCCCCTGTTGGGGCTCTCGGGGGGCCCTGCTGCGGCCACGGGGGGCCCTGCTGCGGCCACGGGGGCCCCTGCTGCGGCAACGGGGGCCCCCCGCTGCGGCTCGCGGGGGCCCTGCTGCGCCTTCGCGGGGCCCTTCGCGGGGGCCCCCCCACCGTTGGGGGCCCCGAGAAAAAGTCGGACCAGTTTTCCTTACGCGTCGACGCCCCTGTCAAGGCTGCAATCGAAATCATCAAAAATAAAAATAAAATTCAAAAGCAAACGCTTTTAGGCAGCTCGCAGCTGCGCTAGGCTACTTTCACTGCATATTCTTGGCGGTAGCCCTGCTTGAGTTTGGCGTTTTCATCCTGGTAGGTATATCGTGCTGCCACATTTCATTTCATGGGAACAGTGTAAATATGATTCAGAGGCGAAAGTGACGCTCAGGAAATAAACGCAGTTGTGAAATGTGGTGGTGGGCTTGGTGGTGGGTATGAGTGTATTTGTCATTTTTTAATTTATGTTTTGCAGTGTTTGAGATGTTTGTGTGAATTCTGTAATGCATTTCAAGCTGAAGTGTTTTGTTTTCTTCAACTTCATGTTTTATGCAGCGTGTAGGCGTTTCCAGAAACTAGCTCAATTCGGGCAGTCCGCGATCCTCGCATGCAAATGCCATATTCTGGATAGGTATTCTTAAATTTTGATTCTGCTAAGTGCTAACTAATTATAAAATTTGCAGTATTCATCTACTCTGACTTCATCTTCACATTTACCACCCCCTCCACCTCACAAAGTAATGCTGATGCTCTGTGCCAGTGCTGGAGTGGATTTTTTTTCGCAGGCTGGGACCATGCTGCTGCTTCTTGGCTCCTCATTGGTCGAATTCAAGTGGTCTATTCGTTAGACCAATGAGAGGCCAAGCTGTGCCAGCAATAACTTCCTTATATGGGGAAAACCGACAGCACGCTGATATAAAAACAGCGACCGAACAGGGCCCTGGATTAGGTAGTTACTGCACTGACTGCTGCAGGCTTATGCTTAACAACAGTTAATGTACTATACTGATTCATTGCTTCATATTTATTTGGAACTGTTGTTTATGATCTTTTTGCAGGTGAAGCTGGGCATCAATGAACAAGTATGGAAAAGTTTGCTGTTGATTTGGATGCTGTATTGGATGAATTCGAGCTAAATGAAGGTACGCTATGATGCATAATATAATCAGCTGCTAATGTTTTCTTCTGCCATCTGATCCTGCCAGCAACATGCTGTGAAATACTTCTAAAGTGGATGCTTGAATGTTACCTATGAACTTTGCCTTTTTAATGATTTGTATTAGGCTTTTTAGATTGTTGGCATGGTCTATGCATGCATTATTTAGCAATTACAACATCTGTTCAGCAATAGTCCATTGCCAACCTGCCATAGCCTACCTAACACTGAGACTGCTTAAGTACCTACCTAGCATGTCAAAATGGTACTTGTAACTTTCAATTTTTTCTTTCAAACATTTTCTTTTAAAAGATTCAATTCAATTTGGAATAGATTATAGGTATAAATGGTTAAAACCTGAAATTGCCCTACACGGTAGGGCAGCTGTGTCATGACACACCCTGTAGGTCCTACAGGGTGTGCCATGACACAGCTGTAATGTCTCTTACTTTTTGGCAGACCAAGCTGAAGTAGCAGCTGCAAGACTTCAGAAGCAGATTGAACAAGGGCGCCTAGAGATCGCTTCATCTGATAACACACCAGGGAGTGTGAGTTAATCTTTACTCAATGAAGTAATCTTTAAAGCATCTGTCCAAGTCATCCTTATATTCAAGACTAGTGACTGTTGTAATTGAATGACTTTATCTCATGCCAGTTGATGGGAACACTTTTGTCATACAATCGAGGTTTCAAATTCAATACTTCAGTGCCTAATAAATTTGCTGAGCTCCAATTTGATGCCTGAGTTTGTTGCTACATGATTGTTGCTGCTCCAATTATTCTTTTTCTTAATGACTGTCTGCTGTTCCAGAGTTATGCGAACTCGCCCCGGTCTTCGTTCGCGCACGTGCACGATGACCCTGGTCGCACTGTGTCGCCGCTCGCTCGGCTCTCGGCCGGATTTGAACCCGCCGCCGCAACTCTGACGTCAACCAATCACGGAGCATCGTCTGATCCAGCGGCCAATCACCGTGCGCCTACTGATACGACGGCCAATAGCAGTTCTCTTGCGGACGCGGTAGCCAATCACGCTTTGCCATCGATTTCTTCAGCCAACCACTTCCCGGGACCAGGAATCGCGTCAACTGATGGTGCCAGAATCCCGGATGTTGTGGCTAGCCCCGCCCACTCATCATCTTGCTCCAGTAACACAGAATCCCCGGAACACTTCACGGCACAATCGCGGCCGGTCAACGGGGAACCAAAGGCAGTGCCATTTGTTGAAGAATCGGCGAAATCTGTACCATCTCCGGACGCAGAAAACTCCGCCGCATTGGCAGCCAACGAACAGAGAGCAAGTATCAGTCCACCTGCGGCACCGCCTGTGCTTGCGATACCGAGCTCATCTTGCAGTGTTTCTGAAGAGCCGAGCTCTACTACAAAACCAGCGAGGCCTCCCGTCGTGCTGCAACCTGACGCACAGTTTCCCGCGAATGCCGCTGAGGGTGTGAAGGCGGACACTCCCGAGAAGGCTGCCGGTCCACCATCAGTCCTTGTCGCGACTGGTACGCTCTCCTCCCTCACGCAGCCACCGGTGGCTGCGCTACCCGGAGACACAGGCTCCCGTGTGATGGCGGCTGCCCAACACTCTGGTGCTCGGGACGATAGGCTCCCTGACTCTCCGTCACGTGATGTGCCCGCCGAAGCTGAGGGTGGAACAGACAGTGGTGTGGAGGCTGAACCTGTGACCGAGCCACAGACTGAGACGCAAACTCAGGAGATTCGTCAGCCGACAGAGGACACTGGCCACTCTGTCAGCACAGGGCTGATGTCTCAGAGTGATGGCCCTGAGGAGAAGGCAGATTCTCTCCAGAAGGACCCGTCTCCGAGCCCCGTCACGGATGTCCCCGATGTTGTCAGTGCCTCTCTGGGTCGTGCATCCAGTCCGCCGTCCGCCGCTTCGGGCTCCCCATCGTCGCCGGTTGAGTCTACCACTCCTCAGATGGCTAAATCTACCGCTGCACTGACTGCTGATCCTGCCCCTCCACCAGCGCCTGAGTGTGCCCGTCCAGCAGCCGTTGAGTCTGCCGCTCCGGCGACCACCGACGCTCCGTCCTCGCTGCTGGCTCAGGTGGCTGCCGCGCCGTCTCCGCCCGCCACAGCCCCGACGGCAGCCGCCGTGCCGGCCGCGGCTCCGACAGTCGCGGCCCCTCCCGCTGCCGCTAAGACCACCCCAGAGCCAGCTGAGATCGACCAGGAGCCGGCTGAAGCCGAGCAGGAGCCAGCTGAAGCCGAGCAGGAGTCGGCTGAAGCCGAACAGGAGCCAGCTGAAACCAAGCAGGAGCCGGTGCGGTTCCGTCCCGCCGACGATGTCAGCGACTCCGAGCTGGAGACTTACCTAGAGGAGCTAGAGGGCGACGATACGGGTGGCAACGCGGCGCCCAGTGAACCCGTCGGCGGCGCACGCCCCAAGATATCCCCCGCGGCACCCGTCGAGCCGCCCCCTCCCTCCCCTCCCCCGCCGCCGGAGCAGGCAGCTCCCTCCAGCCCGGCAATGCACCTGCTGAAGGGCGGCGTCATCTCCAGACTACAGAGCCAAGTGTCGATTGAGTGTGAGGTGGATAGTCGGAACACGCGGGCGCCGGCGGAGTCAGGTCGTGGATCGCCACCGCCGCCACCGCCGGCGGGAGCGGCTCCTGTGCGACCCAACAGCCTGGATCTGACGTCATCGTGCTCGCAGCCAATCGCCGAACAGCCCGAGATTCGGGAGACAGGTGGGTGGAATGGACGGGCTTTGTGAGAAACGTGTGCGTGTATGTGTGAGTGTGTGTGTGGGGGGGGGGGGGGGCGGAGGGAAACTACTGTTAAGTTGCTTCGCTACCGCTCTCTGGCCTGTATCTCAAACCTTTTCAACCTCACTTCCGGAACATTTTTAATCATTTTCGAACAGTTTTTATGGGTGCAGCTGCTGGTGTGCTGCAGTTGAAAAAGTTGGAGCTGCATACGACTTGTGACAAGGGTTTCGTGTGGATGAATCTGTTAATTGATTATGCTTGCAGCATTTTAGTTGGTTAAGTCTTACATTCGTGGATCAATAACTTGATTCGTATGCCTATCAACCAGCCCGTTTTCCCATCACGAGTTTCCGTGACATTGTTTATGGCGTCTCTGCTCATTCTCATTTTCCCTGTTCTCACAATGTCTGGTACTCGTCAAAAATGGGCCATAAATAGGCCACTCATCGTCTATCCATGGACAAGTATGCCTAAATTCGGTCACCCAGTTCCTCCCGCCCACTGAACGGGTCCCAACATTGACCCAAACACAGCTGTGCAAGCCGCCGGAAAATAAACAGAAGCTGCACCGCTGACTGTCACTTTAGACTCGACTCTGCATGACAGAAAGGCTTCTGTGAACGGTGCTATATTTGCTGGCTGCAACACTCGCTAAGCATACACTGCCCGTCGCGATTAGATTGACATTGGTCGATAGGATAGTAATACCATTTTTGATTCGGTAGGATAATATGATATGCCTTATTGCAGCGTTCAATCGGTGATTGCTTTGGTCTGAAGAGTGTCGTTCGAAATCAGTTGATACAAGCTATGCTAGGTATTCGTATGAACAACTTTTCTGTCGTGTGCTTTACAATCTCTTTGCTGTGCTATGTGGTTTGACACGTACAGTCCACCGCTAAAGTAATGTGCGCTTTTACCAATCTCAACGGATGGCTTTGACTGGCGATTTTTTTTTTTAATTCGGAGTGATCGAGAAGAAGACGTCTCACTTGTCTCTCTCCCCCTCCCCGCAGACGAACCCACAGCAGACTCAGCCGCCGATGTCGACTCCACCACCGCCGCTCAGTCCCCGCCTCCTCCCGCGGCTGACGAGGACGACGCATCGGCCGCGACGACCCAGGAGAGCGTCTCGACGACGGGCGGCAACATTGTTACGGCTCCCGGGGCGTACGAGGAGGCCCGGCTGGCCGCCGGCCGGCCGGCCGCCGTTCCCGCACCCTCCGGCGGAGCCACTCCACCCCGTGGCCAGCTCGTCAGTCTCTCCGATGAGGACAAGAATCTGGGAAAGGTGGCGCCCGTCTGGGTACCCGATGAAGATGTGAGTATCGGTGATCGGCGTTTTAGATGAGATAATAGTGAGGGGATGTGAGTTTGGGAGGTTTGGGAAGGGAATGGTTGGGGATGGTTTAGTGATGCAATGGCGTCTTCCGCCGCAAGAAAGCTCCTGTTTTACCAAGTGTGCGTGCTAAGAGGCATTTATCGTTTGCATCCTATTTCAATGAGTAATTGACATTGATCGTTTTGGGCTACATGCAAAGCCAATTTGTCGCTAAACCAAGTTCGTGCTATTTAACGATTTTAATTTCCGTGCACTTTTCACTCCACCGCTTGCCGTTCGCTTAGTAAAGTTTTGAGATCGCCATATCTCCGCTCCGCTTTCGTACACGTCTGATCACGGAGCGTCACGAAGCTGGTGTGCAATTACTTTGAACCACTTTGAACGATTTGATATGACCGAATAGATTATTGATACGATTGCGTGGCGAAGATATGTAAAATGTAAATGCATACGAAAGCTCCAACATACTAACGAACTTTGCGGAGAAAGCCAATTTTTTAGCCTTCCCATAGCCCCATAATATCATGCTCCTGATCCCAATGTCTCACACCCGCCACCGCTCCACCAGGCGGTGGCGTGCATGGAGTGCAGCCTGCGCTTCACGGTGATCCGGCGCCGCCACCACTGTCGCGCCTGTGGACGGCTCCTCTGTAGCGCCTGCTGCTCCGAGCGCATCTGTCTCGACTACATGGAGTTCCGCGAGGGTCGCGTCTGCTCCCGCTGCAAACGAACCATCGATAGAGGTGAGAGGGGCGCTAGATGAACGGATGGGGAGACAGTGAGGTTTACTGGTTGGGATCTCGGTAATTTAATCGGGTATCGGATTAAGAAGGAATTAAATGATGCGTTCGGCCCGGGTAAATAACCGACTGGGATTTTGATTTTTGAAGTTATTAATAATGGCCTTTGAATAGACGATTATCACCAGTCTTATGGTGTAAGTGGCCGTGTTTGCCATTCTAGAATTAGTTGAGAACAATGCTGGATGATATGTTTTGAATTTGATTACAGCCAATAGAACATCCCTACCGGCTACCGCCCATGTTTGGTCTGAGATCTGGCCCATCCCTTGATGCTTCAATGCAATGCGACCTGTCCTATGCCCATATTTCCCCCATATGACTGTCCCCCGTACTAATTGTCCCAGTCCCACACCCTCCTCGCAACCTCTCTGATCTGACCATCCTCCATCATTCCAGTCCAACAGGAGAGCCGGGTGGTGTCTGCCGGCGGCGCGTCGCCCTCCCACCACCAGATGGCTCGGCCGCCCAACCCCAACAACCCGATGGAGTACTGTTCGACGGTGCCTCCCACCCAGCAGGCGTCTCACAACGCGCCGCCGCCGACCGTGATGGTGCCCAGCGGCGTGCTGAAACGGAGCGAGAGTGAGTTGATCGGGGAAGAGGGGCTGGGTGGGGATTTGTAAAGAAAGGATGGGGAGAGGGAGTTGGATGGCTGTATTTGACGTTTGGAGAGGGTATTAAAAGAGGATCAAAAGGCATTGTCATATGGTGAAGGGAGGACGAATCTCTCAGGGGATTCGTCCTTCCCAATACATTCAGGCAATGTATAGGGTGACTGAGCTGTCGCAGAAGTGAATGTGCGTCGTTCTATTGCTCGTCATTTGTAAGATCGCTGGGACTGGGACTGAGTATTGGACTAAGTCATCAACGCTTTGACGTTAATCTGTTCTCTCACCGTATAGACTTAGAATCCGCATAGTTTGCACATGCTGGAGGGCTGATTGAACTCAAAATGTTTAGGGATGGTTGCTAAGCTTCGTGTGGAATACCCACCTTCCATCTCACTGCGTTTTCAGACTCTGGCGGCCGCACGCCGTCACGGGAGGCCAAACAGGTGATGTTCAGTGACGGAATCCGACCCGGCGGCGACCTGACCGAGCCAGCCCGGCCGAGCGGCCAGCGGGGCGCGGGAGCTGACCCGGAGTTGAGGCGGCCTCCTCACCGGCGCACCGCCCGGCTCGGCCGCGGCCCCGACCGGTCACGTGAGTGGGGGTGGTGGGGTGGGGATTGGGAAGGACGGATCATATCAGGGGGATGTATCACGTAACCGCTGTAACTTCGCTAAACGCTGTTGGATTACTTGTGGTTTTTGACAGACTTGTATCGTTCTATCAGCATGGTACATAGGAGCTACATATTAATATCTTCATAGGTAGCTGTCATTACGATTTTAGCTTTTTCTGCTAAATGTACTCCTTTCTAGCTTCTCGCTTGAAGTGCAGTCATTGGGTGCTCCTTCTAAGTACTACCGGCTATAACCAGCATGCGACCGAAGGAACATAGGAAAAGTGTGATCCCACAACTGCCAACACCACGTCATGTTCAGAGGATCATCACTAACTATTGGCAGTCTCTCCGCGGTGTGTAATGACCCTACTGATGTTTGTTATGTTTCCAGCGGCGGCCATTCTGAAGGACGCCAAGGGCTGCAAGGACCTGGCGTGGAAGCCGGAGAGCGGCAAACTGCCACCCATCTACCAGGCCGGCTCCGCCGGTGAGAGCACATGAGGAGTGGGGAGTGGGAGGGGTGGAGTGAACATCAAACTCATAGTAGACAGTGGGTCATTGCTGGTGTGTAAATGCCGGCTGTATTCAGTCATGGCTAATAATGCTTTCAGTGATTATGAGCTGCCAGTCTTTCACAGATAAGAATACCGGAAATTTCTGAATATCAGGGCGGCCACGGCCAAAGTACCACAATATCCCCGTATCGGGCCTTGTGAGTTCCATCGGGACTCACAGGACCTCTCCCCGAATCATCAAATTTGACCCCCTCATCTGACAAACACTTCCCCTCTGGCAGGTTCAGCCGTCAAACAGTCCACGCCCGAGGAGACGATCGTATCGATGATACGGGCCGAGCGTGACCTGCCCTGGTCGTTCCTCATCAACAAAAATCTCATGGTCGTCGTCAAGATGTTCAAACGTGAGTGACGACAAAAGTAGTCGAGGAATTTTTTTTGCATGGTTATGGTCGTATAGACATACGTTTAATCGTCAAAGGTCTACCTTTTAACATTTATCGGATAATATTTTTGATGTTCTATTTTTAACGCTCTATTTCATCGTCATTCCGCTACAAGGACCACAGTCAGATCAGGTGTGTCTCATGACTCGAGTTAACCTCTTGCACATGAATGGCTTTTCAAACTTCTTGATAGTTATGCTATTTAATCAGTTTTACTTGTACGGAACTCATCTTCCAAAGAAGATCTGAACACTTACTAGCAGCACGAAATTGGTTTTGCGTTTAACACTTGAAGCCATGCTTTAAATCGATCAATTGAAGCCATTGCCATGCAAATGCGAAGGCATGCCAAAACCCCACCATCTCTCTGCACCTGACCGTCCCCTTCCTCCCTCCCCTGCAGTGGACTGCTGCGTGGGCCGCACGTGCTGGATCTTCACCTCGCACGGCCTCTCGACCGTCGGCCAGGAGGAGGTTGTGGTGATCCTGGAGAGTCTGCCTGACGAGGCCGCTCTGCCCAAGGACATATTCTTCTTCTACCATCACCTGTTCGCCGAGGCCGCCAAAGGTACTACATACGCCGGGGGAGTGCGGTGATACGAAAAGCTGGATAGCGAGTTTGAAGAGGTGACGTGGCGTGCAAAGGATGTAAAGGCTGTGAAGGGTAAAGGGTGGGTTTAGGTGATTAGGATTAGCAGTCTCACACTATGGAACCAGTATAACGCCTTTTGGGGCGACTAACGGAGCGAGCGAGAGGGTGGGCCTTGCACGTGCGAAATTGCGAGGGGGTACCTCCAACTGACTTGTGCACGGCACCCTACTAACTGGTCTCTAGCGATGTGCCAAATTTGGGCACAATCGGCCCAGCCGTTCTCGAGATCTGGAAGCGGCACCCTGCACGTGCGCACGTGCAAAATGGGTCCCAACTGACTTGTGCACGGCACGCTACTAACCGGTCCCTAACCGTGTACCAAATTTGAGCGCAATCGGTCCAGCCGTTCCCGAGATCTGGAAACGACCCCTGCACGTGCGCACGTGCAGCAGCACCCCAACTCTGGCACATGTATATGCAGTGCCTAGTGGGTGCCTACCTACATGCCAACTTTCAGCGCAATCGGCCAAGTAGTTACCGAGATATTGCAACAATTACAAAAGTGACACCTCTTCGTTTTGCACGTGGCACGTGCATAAGAGGTCACCCACATGCATCGGGAATAGTCCAATACTTGGTAGAAGGAATGAAGCTACCCTACAAAAATTACCGCGTGTAAATCGGTCAAGTGGTTGCTGAGATATAAGCCTCGCAAAAGCGTGACCACGGCCGGCCGGCCGGCCGGCCGCTCATACTCAGAAATTTCCGTTAATCTAAGGAAAGACTACGCTCGCTTCGCTCGCTCCGTAACCATACTGCGCCAATTGAGTATTGCGAGGATTTTTGCAAGGATTTTTGCAATTCGTGAATGCTTCGGCTCAATGAAGTTCCATCCAATATGAACATTGTTTTATATCAGATGGCTCTATCTTGTGCTGAAAACTTTCACGTAGATAGCCGAGTCTTGTCTGCGCCGCCCCCCTGCTCAAGACATCAGCGGCAGCCTCCAGCAGTGACCTGACGCCCTACCTCTGCCCCACAGGTCACTTTGTGACAGAGCTGGGCAACACTCTGTTTTCCGCGCCGTTCCTCGGCTCCAAGGACCACGGCGGCTTTCTGTACCTGCGACCAACATTCCAGTGTCTGCACAACGTGCCGACGCCGCCGCAGCCCTTCCTTGTTGCTGTGCTGATTCAGAAGTGGGAGGCGCCCTGGGCTAAAGTAAGTGCTATTAGATGTGTTTTCCTGGGCTTAGATAGATGCTGATATAGAAGTGGGAGGCGCCCTGGGCCAAGGTAGGTGACATCTGGCAAAGAAATGGCGCAGTTGATGGGAAAGCCAGTTTTTTTTTTTTTAACGGGACGAGCAAAGCAATATCAGCTTGATTTTCGTGTAGCTTGCCGGAATATGTCCGGCTTTGGGTGAATTGACTGCCGATTTCTAACTAGTCAGGTGTTTCCACTGCACCTCTAGGGACCTCTGACCCCGTTTGACTTACTGTTATCTCTGCTGACCCGTTCAAGTATTTCTGCTGCGGCTGCTAGTGCTGACCTCTGATGGTCTCTGACCCCTTCTGACCCTACCTGACCTGTTCAGGTGTTCCCACTGCGGCTGCTGCTGCGGCTGGGTGCCGAGTTCCGCTACTACCCGTGTCCTGATGACATCTGATGACCTCTGACCCCTGTGCTAACCTCTGATGACCCCTGACTGACATGTGACCGTTCAGGTGTTTCCACTACGACTGCTGCTACGGCTGGGTGCCGAGTTCCGCTACTACCCGTGTCCTCTGGTCAGCGTACGACACCGCAAACCTGTGTTCTACGAGGTCGGGCACACCATCATCAACCTGCTGGCGGTGAGTGCACAGACCTGGTGCCGTAGTGTAATGTGTTGGCTAAGGTACTCATAGAATGTTGGTGGTGGGCATACATAGTCTCTTCGACATTTTCGTCGCCTCGGCTATTTGGACGAATTATGAGTATTTGCTGTATTCTGCGTATGATTATTGTGATGAAAAATGACCTTATGCTCATGATATAATATGATTAAGTTGAATTGAAATAAGACCAAAAAATCGCTATTATCATTAATGATCATTAATGATTTTTTGGTCTTATTTCAATTCAACTTAATCATATTATATCATGAGCATAAGGTCATTTTTCATCACAATGATATTACTAACGATGCTCAAACATATCATTGCTTACATCCAACTTCTGCGTATGAGTTTTTGTTCATCAGGTGATTTCTGTCTCTCAAAAAGTGATGGATAGTTGGAGTTCTGAAGGTATTTGCACCCACCAGCGAGCCATCATGAGGTGGCTGAACAAGTCACATAAACCTTTGAGCGTCGATCTCACCGTTTCTCAGCCCTCAGCCCCTTGCTGTTTCTCACCGAACCGCTATATTGATGTTTCTTCCCTAACATCCATCTCTGACATAACTATCCCTCGTCGGACAGGACTTCCGTAACTTTGCCTACGTGCTGCCGACGGTGCACGGCATGCACATCCACATGGAGGAGCAGGAGACGTCCGTGCTGATCCCCAGGAACCGCTTCAACCAGGTCAGAGAAATAGGACGGTCCGGTGAACTGGTGCGCGTCTCAATAAAGAAACCCCGATTTGTCATCTTGTTTTCACAGTGAGAATGTTATTGATCATTACGAGTACGACTGTAGAATGGCGTACTATTTGATAAATCATATCGCAAGATTTTTTAAACGTAAATGTCCAAATAAATATGCTAGGAGTTTGGACAAAGTTCAGCCGTGTCTCGCCGCATCTTCAGACCAGCTAGCCATGTCATTACCTCCCCGCCTACTAGCGTCCCTGACTGACGTTCCTCCATGGCCACCCAGGTGCTGAAGGCGATCAACAACAGCAACGACCACGTGCTGGCGCTGGGCGCTAGCTTCTCTCGCGAGGCCGACAGTCACCTGGTGTGTATGCAGAACGAGGACGGCCAGTACCAGACGCAGGCCATCAACATCCAGAACCGGCCCAGGCAGGGTAGGTCTGAGTGGTGGTGGTAACAGTGATGACTGAGGGATGGGGTGAAGTTTCTGTGTGATAGAAGAAAAAAAAACACATGGGAAATGTTGTGAAGAGATGGAGTGCTCAGGTAACATGATTGATGATTGTTGATTTTTTTGCAGAAATGTTTTTATTGTATAATTTTGTTTGCGAAAGCATATCTTTCTAAATAAGTATTGATATAAAATTCGTGGTCAACACAACTTGTTGGCGTTCATATTATGGGAAATTTTCATTTATCATTGTTTTTCTCAAATTCATACGTAATAGGCCAGGGAAACTCGGCGGAGTTCACTAGAGCGTGTTTTGCTGCAAGTTTCTCGTTTCGTTGGGGATTCGCGAACAGGCCACATTACACGGCGCCAGTTTCGTGGTGTCCTGCTGTCCCAGCTGTCCTGACTGAGCTCCCTACTTATCTCGTTCGTGTGTGTCCGCCAGTGACGGGCGCCAGTTTCGTGGTGTTTAACGGAGCGCTGAAGTCGGCCGCCGGCGTCACAGCCAAATCGTCCATCGTCGAGGACGGCCTCATGTTTCAGGTGAGCAACTGGTTGTGAGCACCACTTGGTGAGCACTGAGCAGTGAGTGTGTCTGGTTGTGACTTCTGATATGATCACCGGGCGTGGGGACCACATGCTCCTAGTGTGCACGGCCCCTGGATGAGTACGGTGTGTAAAAGTTTCAAAGAGAGCACCTTTCTCGTAATACTGCGAGAGTTCAGAGTTTGGACATAGCCTGTTGTGAGCTCATGCTTCAGATGTTTTTTCTTCTACGGACTTAAGAGGTTTGAACGCGGTTGGTGGGCTCTACCTTCAGATATCTACCAATCCTCAAGCCCAAACAATGATAGATTCACCACTCGAGCTCTAACCCTCTCCCTCCGTCTCCCCTCAGATCAGCCCCGACACGATGGAGACTCTCCGCGGCAACCTGCGGCAGATGCAGGACTTCAAGATTGAGTGTGGCCCCGTCGGACAGCCCCCTGACGAAGTCATCAACATCAAATGGGTGGAGGACGACCGCAGCCACAACCTCGGGTAAGCGCCAGTTGCTGGTGGTTGTTGCGACGAAACAGGATCAATTGTTTCTGAGAAGAGTAATTAGGTATTAAACTGATTGGTAACGTTGCAACGATTTTTAATATGCCTCAACGGTTTCGTGCTACGGTTCAATCTCCGAGTGTTGAATTGTACCACTGCCAACATTCTCATGAGAAAAATGCAAGCCTTATGCGCAAAACTATGAATTTTTGTGGTTTCTGACGATCCATTATTTCTGCTACCGCTGCTACCGCAGAGTCCGAAGCGTCATTGACGACAAGCCCCTGGACGGCATTCCTTCGATCCGCGTCCACTCTGGCACAGACTACGTCGGCGACTCGAAACTGATCCGATGGACAGAGGTGTATCTGATCAAGGTGAGATATTCCGCTGAACGGAGGTGTATCTGATCAAGGTGAGATATTCCGCTGGACGGAGGTGTACCTGATCAATCGGTGAGATATTCTGCTATACAGAGGTGTACCTGATCAATCGGTGAGATATTCTGCTATGCAGAGGTGTACCAGATCAATCGGTGAGATATTCTGCTATACAGAGCTGGTGTACCAGATCAATCGGTGAGATATTCTGCTATACAGAGGTGTACCGGATCAATAGTTGAGATACTCCGCTGAATAGAGGTGTACTAGATCAATTGGTTAGATACTCCGCTGAAAAGAGGTGTAGGCACCTGACCATGGCGAGATATTCTGCTGTGTAGAGGTGTACCTGATCAAGGCGAGATATTCTGCTGGTTAGGGGACCGTGTACCTAATCAATATGATATATTATGCTAGACAGGGGTGTCTGATTAAGTGAGCCATTTTATGGATCATAACTCCGCAATTGTAGGATCTTCCTAAAAATATTTGTATGAGTCCCAACCTTTGATTTATGTGACGTTCATGAGAAATGCTAAGAGGCATGTTGTTTTTTCCCATTATGCAACATTCGTGATTGTATTGCTCCTCTTGTTTCAGGTAAAAGAATCGGTCAGATTCCCATATTAATCAATCATATGTTTTATCGTTTCACGTATGAAAATCGCAGACATTGCGTTGATCACCGCCTTCATGTTCTGCGTAACCCCGCCTATAGTCTGTTCCATATCAAGCTTGCAGTCGGAGTTTCTTCGGCAGATCGCTCCTCCGCTCAAAAATTTGCGTCTTAAAATGTAAGAACTGTATATACAGAAATCACGCACTACTTTCAGCAGGGCACTTCGGCTGCAAACTTGAAACGGAACAGAGTATAGCCGAGAAAGTCTCGAATGTCCTGTGATGCTGCCATCACCCGCGCTGTGACAGATGACCAGAGGTCACCTGTGACACCCTCAGTGCCAACTCGACCGTGACCTCCTCTCCCCGACAACAGGTAACAGAGTCTGTAGCGCGATCGAGCAGTGAGCCACCCGACTTCTCTCGGCTGGCTGAGGAGGTGGCTCGTGGCACCTGCGTGGCCCTGACGCCCCACCTGCCGCTGCTGGCTGACTCCGAGAGGACTCGGATCGGTCTGCGTGCTACGGTCGATCGAGACACGGTATGGAGAACTGGGTAGAAAGTGCTGGGGAATGGGTTGGCCGGTGTGGTGTCTATTGGGCGGGTCAAAGGTTCACCAGTAGCGGTAACGCAGTGTGACCAAATTGGTTAAGCGTTAAGGGGAGGATGTATAAAAAAGTCGTACGAGAATGTCACTATTTTCAAAAAACTCGTCTTCAGCCTCATTTTAGGTGCAGTTTTTACAGAAAATGTGGGAAAAAGACTATACCTGACGTCAAGTTCTGGTGGAAAGTAAAAAAAAATATTGTCATTAAAGATGTAAAAAACGACATTGCAAGCGCGACAGTACGAGTATGACGGTGCGAATCGTACATTGGAACATTTTCAGTCTTTATTCCTACACTAGGTAGGTATGCTTTCACGACAAAAACGTCGTGTCGTGATGATGTAATTTTAAAATTTCTGAGGATGTCATTATACTTTTCATTGGGGGTGACTTTCCCCGCAACATCACCAATTTGGCCACACTGCGGTAACGTATTGAAGCACAGTCGCTGTGTGCTATAAACTTTGTTTATGTTTTACGACATTCAGGGCTGTTTTTTTGTGATGATAAGACGTGGTGTGCCAGAAAAGCACGCTTCATAGAATGTTGTTTCTTGAACTCAAGGCTCTGTCATCGCTGGTTTGACGTTTCTTCTACAGTAGCTGTAGCTTGCTTAGACGAACGAGGTTAGAACAGCGTCACCACACGTGCTGCCTTCCGTCCTTGTTACTGGTTTCTCCCCAACGATCCGCCCCCACCCCGCCCCACCTCACCCTCCCCCACCGCCTCCCCACAGGTATGCTACGAGGCGGGCAGCAACGGCGAGGCGCTGCCGCCCTCCTGCATGAGTTTGCTGGACTCTGAGCTGGTACCCGTTCTCCACCGGTACGCCGCGGAGGTACCCGACAGTCCCACGTGTCTGGAGCTTCTGTTCCACGTTATCGATCGCTGATGACGTCAGATTTGAAGGTGTGGTAGAGGAGACGACACGTGCATGGTGTAACACGCGAACATAGGGCTGAATTACTCAGCAGTCGGCGGGTAACTCGGCAGCGGAATTATAATGGTGCTTTTGCGTTATTTTTGTTTGTTTCTGGTGAATGATTTGAAAGTGATACTGAGTGCAGCGATAATTTCAGTTGCGTTCTATGTCGTTTGGTGTGAGATTAGTGACAAGATTTGGTTGCAGACATGTGGGATCGTGGCTGCCGATATGAGGAACGCGATCATGCGATCGGGAAGCTTTGTAATTGTAGTACGCAGCACTTGTTTATGATGTAGTAACGGCTTGTAACGAACGCACTGCCGAGCGAATGAACGTACCCGAACTGACGCGATGTTGTAATACGTATCTACTGTGAATATGCCAGAGTTCTATTATGCCGTGGGCGCAGCCCTGTGAAAATGACAGGGACACAGTCATTGGAGTCATGCAATGCTGACGTTGCACAGTGATGAGATGTGAATCTGACGCACTATGATAATACTGATGTGTGATGTGCGAACATCTGTGATGTGAGCTGGGGCGACCGCTGCTGTGATGTGACCGCGCGTCCGTGATGTGTGAGTGTGGGGGAGGACGGCATATGAGTCGCTGTAGTCCAGTTACGTCATATGAGGCCTGTGGTCCAGTGACGTCATTAGCCGACCGTCGAGGTACTAGCGTAGCTGTGGGAGCCTCTGCGCGCCGCGAACGGCAGAGGGCACTGTAACCGGGCGGTGGCAACCCGTGCTCTATAAGGTGCGGGCTGTCCCGCCGACAGGGCTCAGCCTTCTGCGATGTCAGGCAAGACCCTGCGCCAGCGCTGACTGTTAGCGCACCTGTGACAGCTTTTGCCGTGTGCTTCGGCGCAGAGGAAGCGCATGTCGGCGACGGCGCAGGACGGGGTCTCGCCCTAGGTTCTTTCCTGTGCAGACCCCACGGGCTGTTACTCGAAGGTGGAGGACCGCGTTACGCAGCCTGAGTTGCTCGGTCGTCCTGTGCTCTGTGCTCGCCGCGTGCTCCGGTGCTCCGGTGGAACCCATGCCATGTGTATATACTCCATTTATGATGCTTGGGTGGCCTATGCGACTTTCTGGTGCGCCGAGGGATGTGGGCTCGAGTGCTGATACCTGCTTGCTTCCCACGGCGCATTATGTCTATTCAGTTGGTCTGGTATATTCAGTGATTAACCTTGTTTTACCGGGGGTTACTGCGCTGTATAGTTGGCGTTCGTATAGTGATGCCAGAGCATGTATCGTCAGCAATACACTGTATTTTAAACAATAAAGGCATAATGAATAGACGGTGTTCTGTCCGAACAAAGTCCATATTAGAACGATGGCGCGAGACAAAAGGCGCATGAAAAATGAAATGTGTTACACTGATGAAGAATGTGAAGAAAATGATAACGGGGAAAAAAGGAATTTGAAAATTTGGCTCAAAACTTGGTTCATTGTGATATTGTTATTGCTTTGGCTCGACGAATGAATGAAATGTTTGCTTGCGTTTCCGTTTTTTCTTGATTGGAAAGATCCGGCACTTTTGTTTAATGTTGCAGACACAACATTATGGTCCTCCGGGCCGGATCCAGAATTAACGTAACGCACTTAAAGGAAAAGGGCCACCTTCGTGAAATATGAAGATATCGTTGTTTTTCATTTTGACATTATTATTTTTCATTTTCTTTTTAAAACTGGTGCCAGAAGTGCACAATTCGCGAAAAAGTATTTAAAACTATTTAACATATTGGTACTATGTTGATACTCTCTACGGCACCTACTGTATGATGGCATAGCGATGACGTCACACTCAAGCCAATCAGCGTTCAGAAGACAGACTCGTCGGATTGTATCAGATAAGCTGATTGGTTAAAGCTGAGCTGGTTGGAGCTGATTGGTAAAAAACCAAAGCCTCGCCGCGGGTGGCTGTATTGTCGGATAAGAACGCATTCCTGGGATAAGGACGCATTCCTGGCGTATTTTCTTTTAAAATTGCCGATAACTACGAATGGAGGCCGAAATCGGCCGTAAGGAGGTAGACAAATAGGTTTTCGGACACGGGCTACAAGATGGCTATCTCAGTTTCAATCCCCATGTTAAAGGTGGCCCTTTTCCTTTAAGCATTTGAACTCAGAACTTGCATCAGTATTTAGATTTTGAAACATATGCGCATAACGCTGTAACGAACTAGCGTAACCAATGCAGAACTATTATTTTAAGGTTTGAGGACTTTTAACGAGTTTCATATTTTCGTAACGTAAAAATGAGCGGAGATACGAGTACGTCCGAGGCCAGCCTGAAGACGAGGAGTGAGGCTGGAACCAGCACCTCAACAGCCAGTGCCAAGCGCAGGAAGGCTCAGGTGTCCCAGTTGAAGGCGCTGCAGGCCAGACGAGCGGCTGATGAAGCTGAACGAGCGCTGGAGTCACGAAGACGGGCGGCCACCGCTGCCGCCGCCGCTGCTGAGGCTGAGGCCCAACTCGTGATACAGGAGGCCCGGGCAGAGGCTCAGAGGGCTGCTGACGCCGCCGAAATCGATGCTTTAGAATTGCGGCTCATGGAAGACGACGATTTGAAGTCCCAGTCCCCGAACGATTTGGTATTTGAAGATAGAGACAGAGAGGGAAATGGAGCGCCGGCAGACCCTAGGCCGCCCTCCGGTGTCATATCAAGACACGGTCAGATGCAGCAGTTAACCGATGTGAACATAGGTGTAGCAACGTATCTCTTTGGTGAAGGATACCTTTCACCAAAGTTTTAGATTGGTGAAGGATCCTTCACCAATCTTGAGCAATGCAGGTGAGGGTCTTCACCAATGCTGGAACGACTGGGTTCGACGGTCGACCTAATGTTAAAAAAAGCAATGCCGAATGGGATGAACAAAAAGGCTAAAACGGCAACAGGTACCCAATTACCCCATCCTTTCAGTTATGAAGCGTTATGCCCACCTTTTTTCACAATTCACGCCATTTAATAAATGATAGGTAATATATAATACTGAACGAGGCCGGTGTAAATAAATTTTCAAGACCGAGGTCCATTCCTAACTGAATTTTTGAACGAGGCCGAAGGCCGAGTTCAAAAATCAGTAAGGACTGAGGTCTTGACAATTTATCACCGGCAGAGTTTGGTATGTATTTTACTGTATGCCAATGATAAAACAATTGTCTAGACCGAAGCTCTTAGCGGTTTTTTGAACGAGGCCATCCCAAAATGTTGACTTGGTAATGCATTTTTGACCGTGGTCACTTTGCTTACACCAGTTATTACCACACCCCTCAGGCTAATGTATTTGAATAGGCCAGGCATACAGTAATATAAAATACCACACGGGGCCGGTAAATGATTTCTTGAGGACAGAGGTCGTTGTTTGATTTTACAACGACCGAGGTCCTCAAGAAATCATTCCGGCCTAAGTGTGGTATTTATTTTACCATATGGTGCACGTAGTTGCAAAATGAGCCTTCTCAAAACCACGCTTCTCACCAGTTTCTTAGGATTTGGCTTTGGCGATGACAATTAATATTGCATTGAGTTTTGTTATTAAAAAATAAAAAGTAGGGAAACGCTAAGAAAAAAGTGAACAATACGTGAAGAAGTTGAATCCTTACTTCGAAATATCAGTTTCCAGCTCCCCTTATATCGTGTTCAACATCAGTACCTAACCGTGGAATCGTGAACATCAAAATGAAGTAAGAAGCACGGCACGGTAACACCCGGAGCTGTCAACACTGCCCTGTCGACTAGTCCAAAATGACGTGTACCTACCTGAATAAAAATTTGATTATTGGCGTTTATTTGCGTTTCGTACCTACGGATAGAATCGCCACATGGCCCACCAAAGTTATCGCGTCTTCTGGGCAACGCAAAGATAAAAGAAGCATAGCTAGAAATGAGCTTTGTAAGCAATGTTGAAAGACGGGTCAATGACCTCAAAACCAAGCTCAAAACAATCTGCTGGTATACGAAAAATGACCACGGGCCAAAACTGTTTCCCAGATACCTAAAGCATTACAGTCTGAGCGGGCCGAAAGCATATACCAACATTTTCCGAACGCTCGTGCCAATACTAAAGAGATAGGTACTCCACCATATGGTAAAGCCGAAAACTGTATTGAAGTTGGTAAACGTGTAAATGTGTCTCAGTAAATGCCGTGAATATCGAAATAAATTGGCTTGTTTTTACTCGTGAGAAAGTTGTAAGACTTTGGTCACGAAAAAATGCAGTGGAGCATACCTTTAGGTTCCAAAGGTATGCTTGGATGGTGGATACCTTTGGTAGGTATCCAAAGGTATGCTTGGATACCTAAAAATTCAATTTTAGGCGTGTACTGAAAAGTTGACGTTAATTAGATGATAATGGCGATTGGCGTGAGACATTTGCGAGAAAAAAAAAAACAGGAGTTGTGAAAAACATGCCTGTCCCGTAGCTCAGTTGGTAGAGCATCGGACTCCCGGTAGTGAGAGCCCGGGTTCGAGACGCTCCGGCGCTCGATATACGAGACTCCTGACGGGGATGGTCTGCGGTTGGTGGGAGCAGCCGCAGCCAGTTGAAGTCAGTTGAGTGGGACAGGCCGTGTCCGGCTTTGAAGGGCACGTTAAACTTTGGCATCTAAATTCTCCCGTTACCCGGAATTGCGCGATCGGACGGTAGGGGTCGTGGTCTACGCAACAAGCTCTGCTTAGCGTGGGCTCCGGCTCTGTCAATCCGTCCATTCAAACATTCGAGCTAAATTTATAAAAAAAAAGAGTTGGCGAGATCCCCCCCCCCCCTCCACTGCGGTAAGGTCCTGCACCCTCTCCGAAGGTTCAGGTGACATCCTTCACCAATATTTTTGGCGCTCCTACACCCATGGATGTGAATCAGATACGATCTCAGTCCGCTGCAGGCAGTGGCGGCGGAAGCAGGGGGGCAAGGGGGGCAGCTGCACCCTAAAGCTATGGAAAGGGGCGCCTCGAAAATCTGTAGAGGAGGCAGGAAGTTAAGAGGTGCGGCAGCCATAAAGCTGAGCAGTGCGACACCGCAACTGATAAAGGCACTTGTGACACGAAGAGGGTGGCAATGACGTGGGAAAAGTATCTTTTGATATGCTAAAGAGTGGAGGGCATCATCTGAAACAAAGGCAGATGCTGCCGACCCTGTCGAATATAAGCTTGCCAGGCGATAAAGGACAAAGGCTAGGAGGGCGCAGCCACTCGAGAAACGCGCCATGCGGAAGAGGGGCGCCTGCATGCGAAAGAGGGGCGCCTGTGTGTGGGACGAAAAAGAAACATTTATGGAGACGTCTTTGAAGGCGATAGCCTCCGAACGCCAATGCACGAACATATGAGGGCTTATAGCGTTGCAGGCTCCATGCGACAAAAAGGGGCGCCTGATGGCCGATATGCGAGAGAAAATTAGTTTGTGTAACATTTATCGGGGGCGGTTTGCCGTTTACAACATAATGTTAAGGGAGGTCCGAGATTGGGGCCTGTAAAATTGCACTCTCCGTATGGGCGGTTACACCCCTAGTGCTAGGGCGTATTTTGCGTTTTTTTTTTTTTTTTTACTGGGGAGATGATTATGACCAGGAATAGCACTTTGCAAACTTCTATGGACGCCTGTATAGGGGCGAAACTGATTTTCCAGTGCAGGGACGGCCATCGGCATTGTGGGGCGGCATTCATTCCACTGGGGCGTCTGCCAGTGTTGAAGGGCGGTATTCATTTCAATGGGGCGCCCGTTGGTGTTGATGGGCGACATGTATCACCTGGGGCGCCTATCGGAGATTGGGGCGGCATTAATTTCACTGAGGCGCCTATCGGTGTTGACGGGTGGTATTTATTCATCCGGGGCGCTTATCGGGCCGGCATTCGCTTCACTGAGGTGCCTATCGGTGTTTTAAGGCGGCAGTAAATCCACTGGTGTCTGGGGCGCCTACCAGCGTCGAAAGGCGACATTCATTATTCATTTCACTGGGAGGCATATTGGTGTTGATGTGTAACATTCATTCTCCTGGGGCGCCCGGCAATGAGGGGGCGGCATTTATTCCGTTCCCCTGGGATGGGCCCCTATCGGTGTGGAGGCGTCGCCGTCGTATTAGTTTGAAATGGGGGCACCTCTGGGTGGTAATAGATGCATTCATTTCGCTGGGACACCTACCAGCGTTGATTGCCTGTATTCATTCATCGGGCTCCTATCGGTGTTGAAAGGCGGCATTTATTTCACTGGGGCGTCACAAACCTGCTACTCCCACTATAAACCTGATGACATTGAGCCAGGATGTCCGTTCCGAAGGGCTGACGTGATACTGATGACACCACTGAATGCAATAGTGCAGTGCAGCCCAGGCGGCATGCTGCTTACCGGCCTGCAGTTCTCTGTCACCGAGTTAGTGTTATGGATTCGGCGCCTTATTCACTAGTCCACACGAAGGTATTGGAACCGTGGAACTCTTTTCGATATGCCTTATTTGGAGAATCTTATGATATGGTGATGAGGTTGTTTCTAAACGAACATTATGAAGGTTACATTTACGCTATGGAATGTACCTAACTATTTCTCGTTACATAAAAACTGTAATTCTGAACGTGTTAACAGGTACAACACATTGTCAAACGTCTCTTCACTGTTTGTGTTACTACAACCGTGTATATGGTAAGGGGCGCCCAGTGGGAAGGGGCGCTTCAATATCGTTTGCACCCCTATCCTAGAATACCTTCCGCCGCCACTGGCTGCAGGGCCCCAGCGAGCTCACCTGCCTGAACAAAATGCAAATGCTGACGCCCGGGAGCGCACGGAGCGCTGGCTGAGTGAGCTGCCGTGCGGTGACGGCCAGCGCCGGACCTCATCACTGCCCAAGATAACGCTGGACGAGTTTGATGGCTCTCCACTCGAATGGCCACGGTGGAGCGGACTTTTCCGGGCTCTGGTGCATGATAACGGCGCTCTCTCAGACACCGAACGTTTGACCTACCTGCAGTCTTGTCTGACAGGCGAAGCGAGAGAAGCAGTGCGTGGGCTCTTATGTGACGGCAACATGTATGAAGAGGCACTGAAAGAGCTGGATATGCAATTTGGGGACCCTCGCGCGGTTGTAACAGCTACCCTTGATGGTGTCCTCAAGCATCACTCCATAAAGGAAAATGATGTCGAGAGCCTGATGCGGTTCTCTCGCGCCCTCCACGCCGCCGTCAGTGTTCTGTCCGCCAGAGGTTTCGAAGCTGACCTCGCTGCAGTAACAAACCTGGACCAGGTCCTAGAAAAGCTGCCAAGGTCACTGGCTTGGCAGTGGGGCCAGGTGGAGCTGAAGATGGCACCACGTCGTCCCACGCTGGGAGACGTTGACCAGTGGCTGAGACCGCTGGTGCTGGCTGGTCGCCGCGCGCTCAGTGTCTCTACCCTAGGAAAAAAACCATCAGGATTTTTCTGATGGTCTGATGGTGCATGGAAATTGGCCCACTGGTCTGATGGTCTGATGGTTTCTGATGGTCTGATGGTTTCTGATGGTTCAGGGGTCTGGTGGTTTGTGATGGTCTGATGGTTTGTGATGGTCTGATGGTTTGTGATGGTCTGATGGTTTCTGATGGTCTGACGGTTCTGATCAACAGTCGCGCCATCAATTGATGGCGCGACTGTTTCAGGAATTCTGATAGTCGCTGTGCTCCTTGGCGGTGTTCTGTGGTTCCTGTTGATCCTGGAGGCGCTCCCTTTCAATCACTTTCTGAGCCCGTGGTGATCCTGGTGATAAAAGGTACGATTATGAACACCAATATATTTATACCACCACCAATTGACAAATAATTTATCCCCCCAAAATTTTACCGATTTCGTTTTATTTTGCCTCTCCTCCTAATTTCAGGATCAGCCCCTTGTATCTCTCCGCAGACGATGTCGGAATCTCATCACGGAAACCTCTCCAGAGGACCTTCACGGGCAGACTTGGGTCGAAATCTTGCACATTTTTGGGGAAAAAGTCCTTGATGTCACTGCTATGCACCACACGTTTCACACCATCCTTCAGCAACTGGAAATGTACATAGGCGTACATCTCAACCGCAATGAAGCGCCAACAACAACGCAGCGTTTCACGCAGCGCCGGCATTTTTGAAAATATGTTTGTTTTCATCGCTTTTTAAAAGAACAAATATCCCAATAATTTTTACAAGTATCACTTCTTAATGATTTAAGAATATCATTTTCTATCAGAGAAAGCTTCTAACCGATTTTGGCAATTCAATAACTTCATTGGTCATGAAAGTACGAGAAATTATGCATGAGAAAGGCAAGTTATATTTCCTATTCCCTTCTTTTTAAAACAAAATAAATTTTTATTAATCATAAGTCATTATTTTAGTGTGTCGTTTTTCATCGTCATGCATTTAGAATAAATTTATTGCTGAGAACTGGCAACGCTGTTCGCTAGAGGAATTTCCGGTATGGGGACCACGAGAAATAATTGAAAGAAATTTGGCTATTTAGAGCTCAGCACTCGCGATGTCGGCCCCGAAGCGCTATAAGGCTTTCTGATGAAATCTTTTTCTGATATAAGGCCTAAACTACAGTGTCCCAAAAGTACAATTTGGCTTGGGTGTCGGAGTGAAAAATTCGAGCCCGAAAAGGCCAATGAGAGTAGAAAATGGGCAGCAAAACGTGCGATCTGAATTTGATAGATGAGGAAAGCCTTGACAATTTCAGTGTGAGTTCAGTGCTACGGCACTGGTCTTGGGTGTTATTTCACTCACTTATGCGAAAAGACCATTTGGGAGTGGGAAAATCACTTCGAAACTCATATGCGAGAGTGGAAAATGATTCCCCATTGGGTGTCGTCTCCCACCCAAATCAACATATTTTGGGACACTGCTAAACTATTGAACCATCAAACCATCAGACTTTCCGTCAGTCAAACCACCAGACCATCAGCGCATGCATCTTCTGATGGTCTGATGGTCAGCAGGGTGACCATCAGACCATTAGGCTACACCATTAGAAACCATCAGACCATCACAAAAAAACATCAGACCATCACACAACACCATCAGACCATTACACAGAACCATCAGACCACCACACAGAACCATCAGACCACCACACAAGACCATCAGAAACCATCAGACCACCAAGCAAGACCATCAGAAACCATCAGACCATCAGCTAGAACCATCAGAAACCATCAGACCATCAGCCAAATCCATCAGAAACCATCAGACCATCAGAAAAATCCTGATGGTTTTTTTCCTAGGGTAGACAGCGGGAGGTGATGATGCCCAGAACGCAGCGGGTGGCTCCGGCAGAGCCAGCCGGTCGACGGAGAGGCAGCAGCCAGCGCACCACTCTGGCTACAGCGACGGCAACAGAGCCCGCTCCATGTCCGGCCTGCGATGGAGAGGCGCACAATCTGGATTGCTGTCCAGTTTTCAAAGCCATGGCGCCAGTCGACCGCCTGCAGCTCGCGCGTGACAACAGACGCTGTTATCGCTGTCTCGGCGAGTCACACTGGGCCAGCCGGTGTCGAAAGAAGTTGATCTGTGGAGAAAACGGCTGTCGTGGGAAGCATCACCCACTGCTGCATGTGCCCGATCACTCGAGTCGGCGCTCAGAGGAGCAGGATGCTCCCGCACTAGCTGCTGACCAGCCGAGAAGTGTGATGGCGACAGCCTTGGATGCAACGAGCGGGCCACGTAAAGCACTGCTGCAAGTGGTTCCCGTGAGAGTACTCGGCCCAGCTGGGAAGTTCGTCGACACGCACGCGCTGCTCGACTCGGGAGCGGACACATCATTATGCATTGAGAGCGTGCTTCGGGATCTGTCGGTGACTGGGTCGACGGAGAAGCTCACGCTCGGTAACGTTGAGGGTACCGGCATGACCCGGCCTACAATGAAGGTGTCACTGCAGGTGGCTCCGCTGTCGGCAGACGGGCAATGTGAGCCTGTAAAGGTGCCCGAAGTCTTCTCCGTTCCCCAGCTCAATATCCGGCCGCAGAGAGTCGATTGGTCAAAAAGGGCTCAGTGGAAACACCTGGAAGGCATCTCGATTCCAGACACCAACGGACGGAAGATCGAATTACTCTTAGGTGCTAATGTGCTGGAGGCGATTCTCCAGCGGGAGGCCCGAGTAGGTGGGCCAGGCCAGCCGGCAGCCATCCGGACGTATTTTGGGTGGTGTCTGACGGGCAGCGTGGCACAGCTTCTACCGGTCGGCTCCCGAGAAGTGCTGCATGTGGCCCACCGCTGTGAAGGCGAAGAGAAGCTGCAAGCTCTAGTGAGAGACTTCTGGTCTACCGAGGCCTTTGGAACAAGGTACAATATGAAGCAGCCTCGCTCTCATGAAGATCGACTGGCGGAAGAGATGATGGAGTCCACCACCAAGTGGAGAGGTGACAGGTATGAAACCGGCCTTCTGTGGAAACCTGATTGCGCCCCCCTGCCCAATGACCGTAGCATGGCCCTGCGCCGCCTCGAATCTACGGAGAAGGCGCTCCGACGAGCACCAGAAAAGGCTGCAGCTTACCGCGACACTATGAGAGAGTATCTGGATAAAGGCTACGCCCGTCTGCTGACCGAAGAGGAACTACAGAAGCATCATCAGAGGTGCTGGTATTTGCCGCACCACGCGGTAACCAGCGCGAGCAAACCTGGTAAATTCCGGGTGGTGTTTGACGCAGCGGCGAAGTTTGCAGGCACATCTCTCAACGAGAATTTGCTAACGGGCCCAGACCTGCTGAAACAAATCCCAGGAGTGCTGCTTCGCTTCCGCCAGCAGCCAGTGGCTCTTATCGCCGATATTGAGCAGATGTTCCTGCAGGTGGCGGTCCGAGAAGAGGATCAGCCGGCACTCCGGTTCCTGTGGCGGGATCTAGAGACAGACAGACCCCCGAGCACCTATCAAATGGACCGGGTCATCTTCGGAGCTCGCTCGTCACCCGCCTCAGCGAGTTTCGTATTGAAGAAGACCGCAGAAGAGAGGGCTGAAGACACTCCCGAGGGTCGTAAAGCAGCAGCCATCGTGGTAGAAGACTTCTACATGGACGACATGGTAACTTCAGTCAACAGCCCCGCCCAGGCGAAAACTATCGTAATCGAGGTGACAAAGCTGATTTCAAGAGGCGGGTTCCGGCTGCGAAAATGGCTCAGCAATGATAAGTCTGTCCTCGTCGGAATTCCTGTGCAGGAGCGGGCTCCCAGTACAGCTGACTTAGAGAAGACACTGCCAACTGAGAAGGTGTTGGGTGTCACCTGGGATGCCGAGCAGGATGAGATTAGCAGCACGGCGCCCAGTGAGCTGGCTAATGTGCGGCAGCCGGCAACGAAGCGAGAAATACTGCGCGTCGTGGCGTCTATTTTCGACCCACTCGGATTCACCTCGCCGTTTGTGCTTCTAGCCAAACTGCAGCTGCAAGCACTCTGGTCTTGCCAGCAGGGCTGGGATGACCCACTCACCACAGAGGAATCTGATCGATGGGCGGCATGGATGGAGGAGCTGCCCCGGCTGAGTGACACCAAGCTGCCACGATGGTATGGTGTTCAGGAAGAAGCCCCTCTGAGAAGAGATCTCCACGTTGTTACGCCGCTAGTATCCGCGGCTGAGTTCGTTCCAGCTTCCGGGTCCGCGATCTCGGTCCGCGATCTCACACAGCGTTCTGAATAACGTAGTCCTGTATTGGTGATCGGTATCCGGCGGGGGCCGCTGCCCGACTGCTGCACGGCCGCACCGTGCCCACGAGCGCAGCGAGCTCAGCGCCACCTAGTCTACTGCACAAAGTTCAGAGGGCAAAGGGCTACGTCACCACACACTACCCCCCTCAACAGGAATGACAGTCGTGGCGAAGCAGACAACACAAAAACTGGCCGAAATAAGACTAAACATCCGTCTAAAACTATTTCAAAGCAAAGCCAGTCGCTTCGAACACGACTTTGTGGCGCCGTCACATTTCGGCTATGAGGCGACGTGGCTGCTTCCGCTGCCTGACGGAAACACGCTGAGCGATGCCCCCAGTGGCTGATCCAGCTCCTGTTCCTGTCGCCGATGAGGTCACACCGCCACCTCTGCTGACCTGCGCCTCCTCGGCGCCAGCGTCGCCGCCTGCAGCTACCTGCGCTTCCTCGGAGCTGCCACCGGTAGCGGTAGCAGGTGCTGTCACAGCATCATTGCCCGTCGCCTCTGGTCCGTCTGTGGCCGGTGTGGCCGGTGACCTGACCGTCGTTTCCGACCCGCCGGTCACACCTGTCCCGACGATGACCCCCGGTCTGATGGTCACCGGTGGTTCGCCAATCCCTGTGGGTGCCACCGGAACCTGTCCGTTACGGTTCGGTGCTGCCACCGTCGGCTGCCGGCTGATTTCCTCCGCGCCATCGGACGCTGCAGCAGCCTGTTGGGTGCCCGCCAGACGCAGCTGGTCGGCGTGCCGCGACCAGATCGCGCTCCCCACGTCCACTTCGAACGACAGCTGGCCCGTCCGGGCGGTGATGACGCCCCGCCGCCACTTGGACGGTCCACCGTAGGCCCGTGTCCAGACGTGGTCTCCGATCGAGAACTGCCTGTTGTGACCTGGCCTACCGGCCTGCCACTGGCGAAGTTTTTCCTCGCGCTGTCGCACGTGCACATCCGGCTTTAGGAGGTCCAGGTTGGTTCGCACGTTCCGTCCCAACATCATTTCCGCTGGAGACCTCCCCGTGGTCGCGTGTGGCGCCACCCGGTATGCCAGCAAGAACCGCTGGAGGCGCTGAGAAAGCGTTCCTCCGTCCTTGAGTGCAGCTTTCAAGCCATTCTTTACGGTTTGAACTGCGCGCTCCGCCGCCCCGTTGCTACTTGGATGCCACGGCGCTGTCCTGATGTGCCGAATCCCATTCGAGTTCAGGAACTGGGAGAACGCAGTGGCGGTCAGCTGGGGTCCATTGTCGCTGACCACCTGGACCGGCAATCCAAACCTGGCGAACATTTCGCGCAGAACACGCACAGTGCTTTCCGTGCTGGTCTCACGCATCGGCACTGCCTCCACCCAGCGCGAGTAGCTGTCATACACTATCAGAAAGAAAGAGCCCTGGAAGGGTCCAGCGAAGTCGATGTGAACCCTGAACCAGCAGCTGTCCGTCGGTTCCCAAGGGTGAAGTTCAGCACGCGGTGGTGCCCCGCGCTTTTCCATGCAAGCCGCGCAGTCACGCGCCAGGGCCTCCAGCTCGGCGTCCATGCCCGGCCACCATACGTATCGGCGCGCCACACCTTTCATTTTGGCGCTGCCCAGGTGACCTTGGTGCAGCTCTGCCAGCACCTGTTGCCGAAGGCAGTGGGGAACCACCGTCCTGCCACCCCAGAGCAGACATCCCAGGTCCGTGGAGAGCTCATCCCGCCTCTGACGGAACGGGGCCAGCTCCTGCTCCACCTGTCCGGGCCACCCACTGTGCACGTACGTCAGGACGCGCGACAGTACCCGATCGCGGCGTGTCGCCGCCGCGAGTTGTTTGGCCGTCAGAACTGGAGCTACTCCGTCCATGAACAGCAGGTACGAGCCGCCGCTGTTGTCGTCCTCAGCATCCGTTGGCTCGACCTCTCCGCCTGGCACTGCCATACGAGACAGACTGTCCGCCAGGTGCATGTCTTCTGATGGACGTAGCTCCACATCGTAGGTGAAAGCCGCGAGCTGCAGCGCATACCGCTGGAGCCTGGCCGCAGCCAGCGTTGGCAGCTCGCGCTCCGGACTCAAGATGCGCGACAGCGCCCTGTTGTCCGTGACCAGGGTCCATCTCCGGCCGTAGAGAAACTGACCGAAGCGCTTGACAGCGAAGGACACCGCCAGCGCCTCCTTCTCTACCATTGGATATTTCCTCTCCGTTTTTGTGAGTGTCCGAGAGGCGTACATCACCGGACGCTCCAGTCCTTCCTCGTCAGGCTGCAGAAGCACGGCTCCCACGCCGACTTCACTGCTATCTGTGACGAGCTTGAGCGGCGCCTCTGCATCGTACCGCTTTAGGACTGTGTCCCCTGCCAGCAGTTTCCGCACTCTGACCAGTGCGTTTTTGTGCACATTAGTCCATTTCCACGTGGCGCCCTTCTGTAAGAGCTCGTACAGCGGCGCTAGTTCCGTGGAGAGGTTGGGAAGCACGCGCTGGTAGTAGTTGATGCTCCCCAAGATGCTGCGCAGACTTTTCACATCTTTAGGGTCCGGCATGTCGATCACTGCGTCAACTTTCTCCTGTACTGGACGCAGCCCCTGTGCTGAGATGCGCCAGCCGAGGTACTGCACCTCGTCGAGTCCAAGTTGACACTTTTCCCGTTTCAGCTTCACCCCATGAGCTTCCAGCCGAGTTAGCACTTCATCCAAGCGCACGCACAGGTCTGTCATGTTCGCCGCCGTCACCAGCAGATCGTCTTGATAGGCCACACACCCGTCTATGCCATCCAGGATGTGATCGATTGCTGCCTGAAACACCGAACTGCACGCCGATATGCCGAACGGTAGGGATTTCATCCGATACCGTCCTCGGTGCGTGACGACTGTTGTCATATCCCGCGATTCCTCCGCGAGCTCCAGCTGCAGGAAGGCGTCTTTCAGGTCCAGTTTGCAGAACCGCCGTCCTCGGACGCTCGCAAAGATGTCCTCGGCGGATGACGTAGGATGCGTCGCCATTTGCAGCTGCGGGTTTACCGTCAGTCGATAATCACCGCACAGACGCACACCGCCATCAACCCGTGGCACCGTCACCAGTGGTGTTCCCCAGCCGGGCGCGTCGTTTGGACCGACTTTTTCCGCGATCCCGGCCTGCACCCAGCGGTCGAGCTCCTGCTCGACGGCCGGTTTCAGTGCATATGGAGGCGAGCGCACCGGCCGTGACACCGGCCGTGCATCCGGTTTCAGTGTCAGGTGCGCCTTTACTCCACTGATGCGCCCCGGTGTGCCGTCAAACACCGACTTGTGCCTGTTACAGACCGCCTCCAGGTCCGCCGTCCCTCGTTCCGGCGTGACGTCCATCACCGCCGTCTCTCCGCCGCCCACACTTATGTCCAGAGCCCGCAGCCAGTCGCGGCCTAGCAGACGGCGATCGCCAGGCAGGTCCACCACGACCAGTCGCAGTCGATGGTCCCGACCGCGAAACCTTACAGAGACGTCTGCCTCACCCCGGAGAGGGATCCGGTGACCAGTGAATGACGACAGCTGTAGCTGAGTAGGTTTCAATCGCAGCCGCGGGATGACCGTGTCCCGCCCCACAGCAGTGATAGGGCTGCCGGTGTCCACCACCATTTTGATGGCCACCCCGTTCACCGGTAAAGTCATTTTAACCGCCTCCGTTAGGTTAACAGCGTTTATCTGCCCCAGCCCCCACATGTCCGCCGTGGCAGTCCGCTGTCGGCATTGACTGCGCAGATGTCCGATCTGCTTGCAGCGGTAGCACCGCCGCGTCTCCGGTGCCGGTCTGACCCCGTCGGATCCACGAGTGTCAGATTCCCGGCGCCCCGGCCCCGTCGGCCGCCGTGACGCTGGTGCCGCACGCGCTGACTCATCCGGGCGTCGGCTGTCCTGACAGTCCCGCTGAAAATGTCCCGCCGCACCGCAGCGGTAGCAGCGGACCGTGCGCCGCTGGCGGCTCCGGTTACCGTCAGCCGTGCGCTGTGGCCGGACAGCGTTCAGCTGATCCGGCCCCGAGGTCACCACATCGACCTCTGGCCGCTCGTCCAATGCGGTAGTTGACCGTCCGACGCCGTCCGTGCTCAGAGACGCGTTACGGAACTGCGTCACTAGCATTTGCGTTTGCTCGTATGCACGAGCCGTAGCCTGCAGATCTTGCAGTGAAAAGTTGTCTCCTTTGGTTCCGACCGTCTGCAACAGTCGCTCCTGAATTTGTGGAGTCGCGCCGGCCACGCTCCTGTCCCGGAGCTCACGGTCGAGGTCAGCCGCCGGGAACCCGCACCGCCCAGCCACCGCCCGCAAACGAGCCAGGTACGCGTCGAATGACTCGCCGGCGTACATGCTCGTGCGGTGGAACGTTACACGTTCCGCCATAAGGTTAGACGTCGGCTGTAGATACTGGCGTAGTTTAGCCACAGCGGTGTCGTATTGTGACGTTGCATCCGTTGCAGCCGGCTCCGGCAGGGTGTCGAACACGTCCTGGATGTCCGACCCCATTAGATGGAGCAGGACTGCAGTCCGCCGCCGGTCGTCTGTTATGTCCATCGCCTCGGCGTAGAATTCCAGACCCTTCAGCCACCGGCTTAAGTCCATCCCCTTTGCAAAAGGAGCCACACTCGGCAGTCCGGCCGCCATGTTTGCCACCGCCCCGAGGCTGCACCGGGGTCAGGCACTGCACACTGCACTGACCGCGCTGACTCACCAGTCACGCCACACCGAGCAGAGTCCAAAGTTCAGAGTCCAGCGGCCGCCGTCGCCGCCCGCACCACTGTTCACCCAACACGGAGGTGCAATACAAATGTTCCCAACAACGATACAGCGAAACGCAGCGGCAGAGCTGACAGCGTTAATGCACAAAATTATGCAGCAGTATAAAAAAATACTAAGCACTAAGCAGAACTAAGCACTAAGCAATATCACCCGGCCCGACGCTATCACTTCACCGTGATGTATATCCGCGCCGACCGCCGCGCACTGCACCATCCAGCACGCCAAACGAGTTTGTCCGAGTCCCGACGCTGTCACTTCCCCGTGACGTATATCCGCGTCGGCCACCGGTGCCGCACCACCAGAACGCCAAATCCGTGAGAACGCCACTTTTCCTTCCGAGATCACCACTAAGCGAATCTCATCCTTGTCGCCAAGTTGTTACGCCGCTAGTATCCGCGGCTGAGTTCGTTCCAGCTTCCGGGTCCGCGATCTCGGTCCGCGATCTCACACAGCGTTCTGAATAACGTAGTCCTGTATTGGTGATCGGTATCCGGCGGGGGCCGCTGCCCGACTGCTGCACGGCCGCACCGTGCCCACGAGCGCAGCGAGCTCAGCGCCACCTAGTCTACTGCACAAAGTTCAGAGGGCAAAGGGCTACGTCACCACACACGTCTTCTGTGACGGATCTGAAAAGGCTTTTGGAGCCGTGGCGTACCTGCGTCACGAGTACTCAGATGGAACCATTCACTGTGCGTTTGTCATGGGCAAGTGCAGAGTCGCACCGCTCAAGAAACTATCTATCGTACGCCTGGAAACTCAGGCAGCCGTGCTGGCTGTGCGTCTGGCAGCGTCGGTTGTCCAAGAGCTCACTGAAGAGGTGCACCGGGTGGTGTTTTGGAGTGACAGCCAGGTGGTTTTGAGCTACATAGCTGTAGTGTATCGAGTACCTAGTGCATCGGGTGTCCGAGGCTCGGCATCGGGCCCCCGGTAATACGAGTGTGAGGCGGCCGCACCCTGCTCGGCTCCAGTCAGAGCCAGCAGTCGAGAGGCTCCGCCCGGCCGCACAGCACGGCAGTGCCTTAGTGTCTGCACCGCGAGTTTGTGAGAATACATCGGAATCCGGAGACGGCGGTGAACACTACATCTGGCGACAAGGATGAGATCCTGAATACTACCGACGATGAACGTCGAGGGGGTGTCGCCGCCAACTCCGTTCCTGGCGAGACCAGGAAAACCAGCACTGCCCTGGAGTGACTGGATTTTCAGTTTCCACAACTACCTGACTGCCCTGGGAGGTGAGGCCTACAGCACGGAGAGGAAGACGGCTCTCCTTCTGCACTGTGTCGGCGCCGAGGCGCAACGGGTGTACCGTACCCTACCGGTCCAGCCGAGGAGAGAAGACGAAGACGAGTTCCATGCGGCTGAGCGGCAGCTCGCCGAGTTTTATGAACCTCAGGTCAACGTGATCGCGGAGCGGTTCTTCTTCCGGCAGCGACGGCAAGAGTCGCACGAGCCGACGGCCGACTACGTGGCGGCGCTGCGCCGCCTGGCAGTAAACTGCTCGTTTGGACAAATGACAGACGCAATGATACGTGACCAAGTCGTGGAAGCAACAGTGCATCCGATTCTCCGCGAGCGTTTTCTGCAGGATAAGGGCCTGACCCTGGACCGCGTTCTGGAGATCGCCGAGGCATTCGAGCGATCCCGACGCGAGGCGACCGCCATGGCCGGGCCGGCGCGGCCCGCCGCCGACGGAGCGCAGTCACTGCATCAGATATCTGACGCTCGTCAGCGCCGCGGGCGCCGGCCCTGGCGACCCGCCCGGCGGCAAGACGACCGCCGCCCCGCCCCTGCCCAGTTGCAAGCCGACCGTCGCCCCGGACCTGCCCAGCTGCAACCGGACACGTGCCCCAGCTGCGGTCGGCGCCAGCACAATGAGCGCGGTCGGTGTCCCGCTACCGGGGCCACGTGCAGGCAGTGTGGGCGGACGGGTCACTTTGCCGTGGTCTGCTGGTCTGGTGAACGGAACGACGACAGAAGGTGTCACGAGCTGACTGTTCTCTGCTGCGCCGTACCAAATACCGATAAGATGATGTGCGAAGTACAGATGGAGGTACCAGGTATCACGCAGACCGTGAATCTGCAAGTTGACACGGGTGCCACGGTGTCCGCTTTAGGACTCGGCATCGCCAGACGTCTCTTCAAAGGCAGTCATCTCAATAGAACGTCTGCTCGCCTGTTCGGTTTTGGTCGACACCAGCTTCAAGTGCTTGGCACGCTGCCAGCGCTGGTGACCTACCGTGGACGGCGAGCCAACACAGAGTTCTTCATCATAGATTCCGACGGTGAAGAAGCCGTCATGGGACTGGACCTGCTGAAGCAGTTGGACGTAAACCTGCACCCCGCGAGTGGGGCAATTGATCAGCTGGCGGTCACTGGGAGCGCAGAAGTCCCGGAACCGCCACCGTCTCAGCCCGACCCTGGCGAGATATGCTCACTGACAATGGTCCGTGGCCACCCCGAAGAAGCGGACCTCCATGAAGACAGCTCCGCTGAAGAAGAGGTGATCGCTCTTCTGACAGATGAAGAGAGCGTGCTGACCGAGCAAGACGTCCGCACCGCGTCAGCTGCTGATCCTGAGCTGCAGCAGCTGCGTCATCAGATCAAGCGCGGCTGGCCGAGCAGCGCCAAGGCCTGCCCGGTTGAAGTCCAGCCGTACTTCAAGATGAGACACGAGTTGTGGGTGCGCAACGACGACGTCATCCTGAGAGGAGCCCAACAAGTTGTTGTGCCCGTTCAGCTCCGCCGCAGATACCTGGAGCTGGCGCACAGCGCGCACGACGGAATCGTCCGCATGAAACAGGCGCTGCGGAATCTGGCGTGGTGGCCCGGCATCAACCGTGAGGTGGAGGAGCTGTGCCGAAGTTGCGAGCGCTGCCAGCACAGCGACGCAGTCCTCTCCCAGCGCGCACGCCCTGCGCCCATGCAGCCAGTCGACCTGCCGGACCGCGCCTGGTCGAAACTGGGAATGGATATCGTTGGTCCAATCAACGGAGCACCAGCGACTGCCCGTTACGCCATCACTCTGATTGACTACAGAAGCAAATGGGCGGAAGTCTGCCTGACGTCATCGACTGAGACTGAAGACGTCATCAAGTTCTTGTCAACTGTGTGGGCCAAAGAGGGCTATCCCGACGAGATCGTGACGGACAATGGGCCCCAGTTCACGAGCAGGGAGTTCACTGCGTATCTGGCCGCCCGAGGGGTGAAGCACACCAAATCGTCCGTCTACTGGCCTAGAGGCAACTCCGCCGTAGAGCGCTTCAACAAAACGTTCAAGTCGTGGATCACAGACTGTCCACCAGCAGCGTTCATTGACGAGGTACGCAAGAGCCTGGCGGTGTATCGAGCCACCCCACACACGACAACTGGGAAGTCACCGTCAGAGCTCCTGCATGGACGACAGATGAGGCTGAACCTGCCTGTCATTCAGCCGTCAACACCAGGAGCCGACAGTGTGGCGTCTCGAGTTCGACGCCGACAGCAGTCCAACAAGAGGTCCTACGACCGCCGCCGTGGCGTGACGACGCCGCGCATCACTGAGGGCGACTACGTCTGCGTGAGACGGCAGGGACACCGCTCGAAGACGTCCTGTCGGTTCACGTCTCCGGTGCGAGTCACTGGGCGCGTCGGTCCCGCAACGTACCGTCTGGCTGACGGCCGGACCTGGAACGCCGCCCATCTGGCCCGTCTCCCATACGCGCCGGCGTCTCCCTCAGCATCTCCCCCCGCTGGGCCCGGCGAGACCACGTCGACCGCCACGACTTCCGAGGCCGACGCCGCTGGCCCGCTGACCTCGCTCGCCGCTGCTTCTCGCCCGTCGACCGAGACAGCTTGCGAGCCGTCGCCGGACGCCGCCGATGTGAGCGTGCAGCGTCCCAGGCGAAGCGACCGTGTCTGTAGACGACCGGACTACTACGTGTCGCAGTGATGCTGTTCCTTTTTTTGCGAGAGGGGGGAATGTGTAGTGTATCGAGTACCTAGTGCATCGGGTGTCCGAGGCTCGGCATCGGGCCCCCGGTAATACGAGTGTGAGGCGGCCGCACCCTGCTCGGCTCCAGTCAGAGCCAGCAGTCGAGAGGCTCCGCCCGGCCGCACAGCACGGCAGTGCCTTAGTGTCTGCACCGCGAGTTTGTGAGAATACATCGGAATCCGGAGACGGCGGTGAACACTACATCGGTTGGGACACCGCTCGAAGACGTCCTGTCGGTTCACGTCTCCGGTGCGAGTCACTGGGCGCGTCGGTCCCGCAACGTACCGTCTGGCTGACGGCCGGACCTGGAACGCCGCCCATCTGGCCCGTCTCCCATACGCGCCGGCGTCTCCCTCAGCATCTCCCCCCGCTG